TTAAAATCATGTACTTTAGGTCTGAATGTCATGAGTGAGTGAAGAGATGGTGATGGTCAGAGGCTTTCATGCGCAAAAGTGTTTGGAATCTCGCTTCTGTCATCACCTTGTGGAGAGAAAGGAAAAATATCTGTAGACCAAAACATGAGATGCAATTCCGCTTTTATCAAAGGGGATACATTCTAAAATATTCCAAAATAAGTGAAATCCTTAAAGTTGCTGTATGTTTTAAGGCTATAAAACCCCTCACCTGAACCACATGAACTCACGACTGCTGTGGCAGCGGAAATATGAAACCTGTTGTCGTAAGTCAAGGGTGCTGCTTCAGCTGTTGAAAGTTGTGCATACACTGTAAAATACAACTGCAAAGGATAAGTAGCGTGATGACGGGACCCCTGAACCCGGCCTCCTCTATCTGCCCTTCCCGACCCGACTTGTGGGCTGCACCCTCTCCTTGCCTGGGAGCTGCCTCAGTTCTGCATCACGTCTGTCCTTATTTGCTGCCTGAGGCCTGGAACTACAGCCCGTCCGTTCGTGGGAGCGTATCCCTCTCGCAATGTAGACCACCCCGAGGTTTTTTCACCTTTTCCCACTGGCTTTTAGAGGTTTTAGTGGCCAGTGCAGTAGGGTCTGTTAGTTCCTTATGAGGTGTGGTGTGTAGTGATGATCCAGGACACTCAACATTCAACAACATTTTTGGGCATTTATAAACATTTATGGACATCTGCCCCTTATATGGACCAATGGCTCTATGTGTTTTGTTTATCATTGTATTTTCTCGGGTTGAACTGTTGATTCTCTGATCTGTGTTGGCAAATTCAACAGAAAGACAGGGCCTTTCTGTATGGAGTTTACATGTCCTCCCATGTCTACAAAGGTTGATAGTGTGCTCGGCGTCTCGCTTCTGATAACATTGTATGTGAAGACAATGAGAAAAACTGGTACATAAAAAAAAATCTAAAAATCGCTTTGTGTGACCATGCTCTGAGAAATGTGCTGTATAGTAAATAAAGATGACTTACTTACTTTACCTATAATATTCAGGCCAGCTTCATGCCTTGATTCATTGAAATCAAGCGGTACATCCAAACAATGAAACAATCACAGTGGCTTGAAAGTGCAGCCATATTCAATACTTTCTAATCAACCAATCCAAATGATTTAACAGAAGGTTATAGTATGTTCACCAGTGACGAATGCTGCCTTCTCTGAACTGTCTTTCCTGCTTCAGTCACATTGCAGTCACATTCGTCTCTTGTCTCTACGCTGAAAAATGACCATTAAAGTCAATTTTAACGCTAAGAGTCGTGTGATTGCAACCGATCCAATGTGAAAGGTCTGAACGCTGCACTTTTGGTCATGTGCAGCTCATAATGAACTGGCTTCATAGAGTTTGTGTTGTATTGTAAGAAATGCATAAATACATTCAATTACCTGCCATCTCTGAAATAATGCAGTTTGTATACAGCACATCCGAGACAAGAATATTGTACATTATATTAATTTATACCATGGTCAATGAGGATTCTTGTTCAAATCAATAGAATTCTAAAGATCCCCCCAAAAACAATAATTTTCCATTAGTTTTATTAAATATTAGTAGTTCGTAAGGAATTGACAACTTTGTAAAGTCTTCCCCCTTGTAAAGAGTGGTGTCACGATTTATTGATATACAGAAATAAATTGAGCGTAAACTCCGGTGATCACTTTACCACCAGGGCAAGATTAATTAGTGCTGTGACAAAAATAAAATATAGAACAATTACAATCTCAACTTGTGATCTTGATCATCAACATGTGAGAGACACCACTCGGAGCAGGGGTTAAAAGCACCTGGGGCGAGTCTCTTCAAGGATCTTAATAGCCACCAAAGGGAACACATGACCCCAGAGTTAAAATCACTCCACTCGAAAATAAAATCCTTCTTTTAACATATAATGCTCCCTCCTACCTCCAAGATATGTTTGGCGTCATATCAACCAAACTTTGCTCTGCACTCCCAAAACGCCAGACTTTTGGTGGTTCCTGAAATGTCAAAAAGCACAGTTAGCGGCAAAACGTTTAACAATTCAGCCTTGTATTTGTAGTCCTCGAATGCGCAACTGATTTAGGGCAAGGCAAAAATACGTTGAAATTAATTACATTGAATTAATTCATTTTTCACATGTTTGACTTACACTAAAACACCCAACCAATGTTTTATTTACTTTGAATAAGTGCTAGGACTGTTGAATATACCTAAAATACGGCAAAAACAGTTCGGTAAAAGGCTGCTATCTATGGTAACTATGGTTTCTTCTCTGCGGAAAACCAATCTCAGCTCAGAACCAGAACCGGTCAAGGACCAACACCTGGTTTTTAACTTGTTGATTCAACTGGTTTGATCAGCAGTGTTTCACCTTCATAGACCTTTTCTGGAGGAGTGCGTGATCTGTTTCTCTCCCTGGAAACATGTTTCTTCTCACTGCCAGATAGTTCCACCTGTAATGGAGCTCAGAGATGATTATCGCCATGGTAACGGTCCTCATCTTCTACAATTTCTTTGAATAAAGGTACAAATGTAAATTATGTTTTGCTTTCATACACACACTCACCATTACGCACACTCACTTGTTTGAACAATAGAAAGAATGATGACACAAAAGAAAAACAAGGCTTTGACACAAATCTTCCAAATAAATTCTCAGTTTTCTGTGGAAACTCGGCAGATCTACATTTCATAAAAGATCTGCATCAGAAACAATGACGACTGATGACGTTTACATGACAACAAAAACCTAGATTTTTCAGGATTTAGATTAATATGTACATTTGTAAATTCCTGCTTTGTGAGATCAATAACGTTTTTAATCTTAAATATCAATGCCTGGAATGTTCCACAAAACAGCATTAGAGTTTGTATTCGTTCAACTTTATGTGTTTTCTTTGCTCAAAATAAAGTGAGTTTTTCACCACTCGTTTTTGTGCGTATGAGCATTTATCTATATATTTTATGTTTGCAATGAATCTTTTACACAATGTTTCATATGTGCAGTATTTGCACTGCTTTTACATTTCATGGTCCATTTTTCTGTTTGTATTGATTTTGGCTAGAGAAGCACTCTGAGTTACACTCTCTGAATTGTGCTTTATAAATACATTTGATTGATTGATTGAATTGTCTGTATATTTACCAGGTGAAATGTTTGAAAACAAATACTCTTTTACCAATTAACCACTCGTATAGACATTCACACAGATGCAACTTATCCCAGTATTAGAACAGTGCCCATATTTGAACCCATTTGAACACATCAACTTCAACTTAGATTATAGATTTTCTAAACAAAATTATTATTTGCTTGGAATGAATCAAAAGTAGTCTATAACTAATTGCAAAATAATTTGGTCTCCCCCAGGCCCAGACTCATGGGCTGCACTCCCCTCCCCGCCTAGGAGCCTTCTCAGTCCTGCACTGCACAGCTTCAGTCCTCGTTCTACAGCCTGAGTCCTGGATATGTATCCGCACCTGCAGGGAGCAGATCCCTCTCTCAATATGGGCCTTCCCGAAGTTTTCTTTTTTTCCCCTATATTCCGCTGTTCTGATTTAGGGCAATACACAAAAATAAATTGATTGTGTTCAGTTTTTGAGTTAGAATTAATAAATTATGCCGTTTTTAAAGAGAATGAGCTTTAAAATGGTGTATAACATGTTGTGGTTGTCCATATAAACCTCATTCTATATGTGTTTGCAAGTTAATAATATTATTTAGAAATCATTACAAGTACCCTTTGTAACACCCCTGTGCAATCAATGGGGGAAATCATTTCTGTCTCGTTACAAATCAAGCTATTTGGTATCGTCTTTGAATGTGTGGACCCACCTGCAGGTGAGAGCCAGTTCCTGTCAGACCTCTGGTTACCTCGCTTCAGTCTGTGTGTCCCAGGGCAGCTGTGTTTTCAGTAGTTTATCACCACTGTGTATGAAGTAAAAGCGCTGTATGAAACTGATGCATTGTTTAATGATTCTTTTTTGTAATTTTTTGTAAATTACGTTTCATGTGAAAAACCAACACAAAGTCACAGAATATTGCGAAGTGAAAGGAAAAAGCTCAAGTACTTAATCATGTTCTCAACTTTGGTCCATGTTCTCAACCAGTAGTGGTCACAGAGACACTGTCAGAATGTACAGTTCATTACTATTACATAGATATATATATAAATATATATATATAAATTATAAAGCCTATTCAAATAATTACCGATTCAAACATTGCTTAAACATAAAATCACATCATTCATTCAGATATTCATCATTCATTTCAGAGCTGTTTTCTCACCCTTTGCAAATATTTGAGGAGAAAATGCATAGAAGACCAGGGTTGAGATAAAATCTTTAGGTTCTAACATTCCACATGATCTTGATGGTTTGATTATTTTCTGTTGTAAATCAATATGGATCAGCCGTTTTCCACCAGAGAAAGCGCGAGTGCTGGTTTCCATAGAAACACACCGTTTAAAGTCATTATACCAAAAAAACAGTAAGAGTAAAGACCTTATAAATGAAGTACTTTTAATAAATCTGGCACTAACTAAACATTTTATGGGGGAATTTCTGCAGTGAAAATTAACTCTGGGAGTTCTAGTCATTTCAGAATTCTGTGTTAACTCTAATTAGCTTCTTCTGGGTTAAGACTCAGTCCTGGATCTACAGCTTGTGTGGATCTCTCTCTCAAGGTGGTCCACTGAGGTTTCTCACTTTTTTCTCACTGGGTTTTTGAGTGGTTACTTGCTGATGCAGAAGGTTGTAAGGACAGTGATGATCCGGGAAATTTAAAGAAATGTATTAACATTTATGCTCCCTATGTACCAATGACTCCTATGTGTTTGTTATTATTGTATTTTCTGTGTTTGAACTGTTTGATTCTCTGATCTGTTGTTGGTGAATCAACAACTTTATAAAGTTCTCTGAGACGAAGGTTGTTGTGATTTAGGGTTATACACAAACAAATTGAATTGAATTAAGCCGAGCAGTGTGGATGACCCTGTCCTGTCTGCTTTTTGCTCCGTGGCTGTGGGCATCTCTTGACGTGGCACACGTAGCTGTTTCGAGTCCAGAACACGCGGTTGCAGGTCTCGCAAGGCCGCATCAGCTCCTTGGTGTGCAGGTTCCTGTGGTCCTGATAGACGCGGATGTTTTTGAAGGACTTCCCGCAGTGCTCACACGTGTGCATGTGGTCGGAGTGTGTCATGGCATGCTGCTTGAGGAGACTTGGGGACAGGAACACTCTGGGACAGTCCCTGCAGGGGTGCACACGCCGCCCCGTGTGGACGCGCAGGTGCAGCCGCAGCTTCAGGAACGCCGAGAAGGTCTTCCCACATTTGATGCAAGCAAAGATTTTAGGAGCTGGTTTGAGAGCAGCGTCCTCAGCTACATCCTTGTCAGCCGTGGGATTGATCTGTAAACGCAACAAACAATATTAATGATCAAATATTAAATTGAATTTATTTTTGTAACACATTAAATCACAACCGCAGTCGTCTCTGTGGATTTTACAAAGCTGTAGATTTGCCAACAACAGATCAGAGAATCAAACAGGTCAAACAGAGGAAATGCAATAATGCCAAACACATAGGAGCCATCGGTTCATAAAGAGCAGGATGATCGAAGTCCATAAATGTCTCGGATCATCATTTAATTGAGACCCTACTGCATCGGCAAGGAACAAACACTTCCCTATTGGGCTTCATAGAGCTAGCCGGTTAGCATTGTCCATCTATATACAGTCTATGATTGAAACAAATTGGCCCACTAAACATACCTCTGTCCCTGTGATAATGTCGCTGGTGTGGCGCAGCATGTGTGTCCTCAGCCCCGAGTCCGACCTGTAGACCTTCCCGCAGATCGTGCACACACTTCGCTCCTCCGGTTTGGCGTGCACATACTTCTTGTGGCTCGATCGCGTCTGCGCGCTAGAAAAGCCCTTCCCGCACACTTCGCAGACATAGGGCCGCTCTCCCGAATGCGAGTTCTGGTGAGATTTCAGGAGGTAACTTAAATGGAAAGACTTGCCGCACTCCTGGCATTGGAAGGGCTTCTCCCCGGTGTGAACGCGCTCGTGCCGGATCAGGTGCGACGGTTTGAGAAACACACGACCGCAGTATTTGCAGATGTTGGGTTTGCGGTGAATGCGGTCGTGGATTCGTAGTTTTTTGTTGTCTGTAAATTCCTTTCCGCATTTATGACATGTGAGGTCCGGCTCTTCCTCCTTTTTTACTATTGCTGCGGTCTTTGCCTGAAAGAGATAAAACAAGTCAATAGTTTTTATTTTCTAGAAAGACTCTCAAAGTGGAGGTTCAACCTGGAAACTCTACATGTGCACATGTCCTCCCACTGCTGCTGCGCTGCATCAGAAATCAGTCTATCACACTATAAAAACTGCCCTGCATTGAGTTTACATATTGTACAGAAAGCTTTCATATCGTGCAGCAACCCTCCTCCTCCCCATCACGCCATAAGCCAGACCACCTCTTCAATCCTTCTCTTAAATCCCGCCACCAGGGTCTAGGCCTCGGGGTATCTCGTCTCATAATCTCTGGTTTCATTTCCTCCTTCTGCATTTGTCACAGTGCTCTGCCTGGGTCAACGCGCCAAATCTTGACCACGTTTAATCTACGGCAGCAATAAAAGTTATTCTTAAACATAACGTCTGCATTTACGATTTAGGTAGTGACAGATTACTTTACAACCAATACATACAATTCTAACAACCCGCTTTTGTCTGTTTGAGTCTTCAGAATGAAATAGAGTTTTATTTCATGGAGAATATTTTTGTGCATGATTACACACTTAGACACTGCAGATCTATAATATGGTATGGTATAATATGGTGATTTACATTTTCTGATGTGTGGAATGTGTAAGTGATTTGATATTATTAATATTTAATCACTTTTTTCCAACTGGGTTATTTTTGAGTAGTTCCATAAAAATGCAGGAGGGTCTAAAGACAGTGATGATCCTAGACATTTATTAACAATGAACAGTGGTCTTCCCGCTCCCTATTATTAGCCTTAACCCTAACCATAATAAGGGCCTATTGCTTTCACAATAGTGAATATAAGAGGTTGCGGTGAGGGACGGACAGTGCCTGTCACACACCCAATTGCAACGGTTGGGTTCGTCTACTCAAACGCTTTAAAATGATGTATCATGTGCCATGAAACCTATATTGTTGTTGCTTGAGACATTTCAGGAAAAAGAATCCTCAATTATTTTTTTCTTCTGCGCTTCATCTCCTTTTGACTCCCTGAACGTGCCTGAATTGTGGCCAAATTTTGCACAAAGATCAGTTGTGTGTATTTTTTGGGAGGTTATTTTTAACCTGAGACTATTAGATTTTTCCATTTTTGCATTTAGTTTGTCCTACAGCTACAATATTTGGTACACATATTTGGGGCGGCACGGTGGCTGAGTGGATAGCACTCTCGCTTCTCAGCAAGAAGGTCCTGGGTTCGAATCCCAGTCGGAACAGAGCCTTTCTGAGTAGAGTTTGCATGTTCTCCCTGTGTCTGTGTAGGTTTCCTCCGGGTGCTCTGGTTTTCTAGCCTGACTCCCGCCAGACCCATGTAGTTCGCTGCACTCCATGTGGTTCAGCCAAACGCCTCTGGTGGAGCATGGCGGAACTACAAGGGTCTGGCAGAGCCAGGCTACTGGTTTTCCCTACCACTAAAAAACATGCACAATAGGTATGAATGTAAATGAGAGAGTGAATGGTTAGTGTTGATTAGGAGCTGATGCGCCAGTGTGTTCGGCGACTCGCTTCCGTCATCACTGTGTGTGGAATGATTGGAACAATATCTGAACTCTGAACATTGTAACGCGCTTTGGGTAACCTTGGTCTGTAAAATTTGCTATATAAATATTTTTTACTTACTATATTTGTCATAATAATAATACTTAGTAAATTTTTTTTTTACTAAGTATTAGTAAATAATAGGCTTTTAAAGCCTATGGTCATGAGCTTTGGGTAATGACCGAAAGAACAAGATCGCGGATACAAGCGGTCGAAATGAGCTTCCTCCGCAGAGTGGCTGGGCGCTCCCTTAGAGATAGGGTGAGGAGCTCAGTCACACGGGAGGTGCTCGGAGTAGAGCCGCTGCTTCTCCATGTCGAGCGGAACCAGTTGAGGTGGCTCGGGCATCTGTTCCGGATGCCTCCTGGACGCCTCCCTGGGGTGGTGTTCCGGGCACGTCCCACTGGGAGGAGGCCCCGGGGAAGACCTAGGACACGCTGGAGGGACTATGTCTCTCAGCTGGCCTGGGAACGCCTTGAGGTCCCCCCACACGAGCTGGAGGAAGTGTGTGTGGATAGGGAAGTCTGGGCGTCTCTGCTTAGACTGCTGCCCCCGCGACCCGGCAACGAATAAAGCGGAAGAAAATGGATGGATGGATGGACATTTTTTATTATGGCCACGCCCCCTGACAAACAGGTGGCCCATGATTTTGAAAAAACTTGAATTAACACCGTTATTATTATAGATCCATGATTGACACACCTTGTAAAACCTTTTGCAGATTGAAACGATTGGATCTGAGTTTACCGTGACGTATGTATTGCGCTCGAGTGTGTTGTTAGCATTTAGCATTTAGCCTAGCCATCTCCTTTGCCGCAAACGGAGCCCGTGGGGAGTAGCGCCACAATCTTTGCCAGCGATTACATTTGCTAAACATTACTCTTGCTCCGGCTTCAATTTCTTGATAGAACCAGACCAAATTACTTTACTATCGCATTTTTCGCCATTGCCAAACTGCCCGTTCGACGCAAACTCTTGACATCAACCACAACTAACTACAACACCCGCCTCCCGCGCTCACTGACTTGTCGGTTGAAATTCAACCGATTGTAATCGCTAACATGGGGACCAGACCCAGACGTTACATGCAGGGAAATGATGATTGAGCGGACTGTACGGATGGCTAAGGCCAGGCTATGTTCATCCTGGTTCTGGTTCAGCTTGGTTTTAAACCAGAGAAGAGCGAGTTACCATCGCAACAAACTATTTTTTGAGGTATTTCAGGTTATATTCACCAGTTTCTTTCATTATTTATATTCATCACTTAAAGTGTTTAGGTTTCTCGGAATTAAATTGGTGTGAATGGGAGCAGTCAAAATGACGGCTCTGGGAGTTCAAGTAGTTTTAGAATTCTGGGAGTCCTGGTGTTAATAGTTGAAAATGACTTTTGCCCAAACGCTGCCAGTCTTGTTTGCACATATACCTTGAGCGCCTCTTGCTGTTGGTGTCTTTTCAGCGCTGTTTTACTCTTGTACGTCTTGCCGCAGTTCTGGCACACGTTGGGCCTGGCATCAGTGTGCACAATTTGGTGAACTTTGAGATTAGACGAATGCGTGAAGGTGCTCCCACAAATGTTGCACTCGTAGGGCTTCTCTCCAGTGTGGACCATCTCATGCTCTCGCAGCTTCAACTTCACAATGAATAACTTGCCACAAAATCTGCAAGAGTGGATTTTCTTGCCAGTGTGCAGGCGTTGATGGATCTGAAGGTTTGCGAGAGTAGAAGATGCCTCTCCGCAGGTTTCACAGGTGAATGCCGCCCCCTGCTGGTCGTCTGATGTGTAGGATGAGATGGGAGTCGAGCCAGTTTCCTCTTTCACGTTGATGTTGAGAAATGTTGTTTTATCGTCCTGAAAAAAAAGACAATATTATTCAGTGAAACTAACATTAGAAAGTAACATGTTTAGTATGGCTGTAACATGCTGCAAACATGTACAGTAGTATCTCATACTGCCAATACGATAAAATAAGATTAGATGTACTTTGTTAATCTCACACAGAAGTTTACATGTCACATTGGCAAGGATAGGGACACTCAAGAATATGTACAGTAGTTTCATCACTGTGAATATTTGAATCCACAGATAATAACTTATTACTTAAATTTTCTTGCACTAGAGTGTACTACAAATCTATGCATACATGTATACATACTAGTATATATTTCTTGCACTAGACTATATTTAAAACTTGTTTATACTTTGTTTCTTTATTAGCCTAAACTTATCTTCATTCCCCACTAACCTCACTCAGCGTCACAGTCTGCACTTGTTTAGAGGCCTTGTCCTTCATGTGAACGTTGTAATGACGCAGGACTTTAGCTGGACTTTGAAACAGCTTTCCACAGTATTCACAGGGATGCAGCTTCCTCCCAGTGTGAAGCAGTCGATGTGACTTCAGGGAGAGTCCGTCGAGAAACGCCTCTCCACACGTGTCACAAGTGAAAAGGACGAAGGTCTTGTCTTTGTCCATATTGCACCCGGAATCTGTTCTTTCTGTAAATAAAAAAAATATTAATCAAGGTCCTTCATCAGAAATTCATGTGTTGGTAAAAAAAATTATAAACTAGGGAAAGACATCCATCCATCCATTAATTTTCTTCCACTTTATTCATCCATCAGATGCGGCTCTACTCCAAGCTCATGACCATAGGTGAGAGAGGGGACGTACACTGACAAGCTCCCTCTTCACCACATCAGTCCATTAACCAACAACAGTTTTTGAGTGGTTCCTTGCCGATGCCAGAGGGTTTAAAGGACATTGATGATCCGGGACATTGACAGACATTTAAAGACATTTATCCCGCTCCCTATGGACCAATGGAACCTATGTTTTTGTTATTATTGCATTTCCTTAGTTCGAACTGTTTTATTCTCTGATCTGGGTAGACGAATCGACAAGGGTCATCTACAACAACGATAAACCCTGGTTCACTGCTAAACTCAGGCAGCTCAGGAGAGCAAAGGAGTCTGCTTTCAGAGAGGGGGACCGCAGCGGCTACAGGGCAGCTAAATATCAGTTCAGGAACGAACTGAAAGCAGCACAGAGAACGACTACAGGAGCAGTTTGGAAACAACGATACTGCTTCTGTCTGGAGAGGCCTACGGGAGATCACAAACTACAAGTCCACTACGACCCACCCATCAGCCCTGCCCCCACCCCTGGCAATCGCTTCAGAAGACATTTAACGACTCTTCTTGAGGCTGCACCCCAGCAAAGCTCCTGGCCCAGACCATGTGTCTCCTGCCACTCTGAGATACTGCGCCAGTGAGCTAACTCCTGTCTTCACTGACATTTTCAACACCTCTCTGGAGTCTTGCCATGTCCCGCCTGCTTCAAATCCTCCATCATTGTCCCCGTCCCGAAGAAGCCCAGGATCACAGGACTCAATGACTACAGACCTGTGGCACTGACGTCTGTAGTCATGAAGTCTTTTGAACGCCTGGTTCTCTCCCATCTCAAGTCCTTCACCTCCCCCCTCCTGGACCCCCTGCAGTTCGCCTACAGAGCCAACAGATCTGTAGACGCCGCCATTAACCTGGCCCTCCACCACATCCTACAGCACCTGGACTCCCCGGGGACCTACACCAGGGTCCTGTTCGTGGACTTCAGCTCTGCCTTCAACACGATCCTCCCAACCCTGCTCCAGGACAAGCTCTCCCCGCTCAACGTGCCCAATTCCACCTGCAGGTGGATCACTGACTTCCTGACGGACAGGAAGCAGCGAGTGCGTCTGGGGAAGAATGTCTCGGACTTTATAAATACAGGAGCCCCACAGGGCTGTGTTCTTTCTCCCCTGCTCTTCTCCCTGTACACCAACCACTGCACCTCCAGCCACAACTCCGTGAAGCTGATCAAGTTCGCGGACGACACCACCCTCATTGGACTCATCTCCAACAACGATGAGTCCGCCTACAGGCCTGCGGCAGCTCAGGAAAGCCAAGCTACCTGCACAGATGTTGGTGAAGTTCTACACGGCCATCATTGAGTCCATCCTCACCTCCTCCATCACCGTGTGGTTCGCTAGAGCCACAGTCAGGGACAAGCAGAAACTGTGCGCTCTGCAGAGGAAGTGATCGGCCGCAGCCTCCCATCGCTGCAGGACCTGTACGTCGCCCGAGCTCGAGGCCGGGCTGGTCGTATCACAGCCGACCCCTCTCACCCTGCACATGGACTATTCCAAACACTCCCCTCAGGCAGGAGGCTGCGGTCCATCAGGACTAGAACCTCCCGCCACAAGAACAGTTTCTTTCCCTCTGCTGTTGGACTCTTGAACACTTCATAACCTGTCCCCCCGCCCTCTAGAAGTCCCCTACTGATCTTTATAAAGTCAACTACTGCTCTTTATAAAGTCACTTTACTGCCCATCATACGTCACTTTACTTCACTGTACTGCTGTCACCTTACATTGTGTGCACCATGTGCACTGTATGTTGTATATAGTAATTCTAACTCTATTTTAAATCTATTCCTTAGAAGTGATTTTTATTCTTTATTTTTTATTATGCCTTCTCTACCCTTACCTCTCTTTCTGACTGTTGCACTGAGCCAAAGCAATTTCCAAGACTGTGACTTCCTGTTACTTACGTGGCAATAAAAATGATTCTGATTCTGATTCTGAATCTCAAGTCCTCCGAGACGACTGCTGTTGTGATTTAGGGCTATAACCAAATAAATTGAATTGAATTGAAAAGGGTTATACTAGACAGTATCCTTGTAGATTAGGATATTTTAGCACGAATATTTATGCATTTATGTTTGTACAAACCACTTCCCCAGCAGACACTGTATGTGACCCACTGACAGTTGTTACCATGTTATTAACATGCTTCAATATGTGACCAGGACTGTGACATGACAAAAAGACACGACTATAACAAATAAGGATCATGAATAAGTCCAAATATAGAACTCACTGACCTGAGATTTAGGCAATTTCACCCAAAACTATAGAAGTAAACGGGCATGATTGAGAAGCTATAAATGCAAAGGCTCTTCCTGATGCAGAGACGCACACGTCAATACCGCCATCTGTACATATGGAGTGGCACTGCATATGAAATATGGCCAAACCGATCCATGGGCCTAACCATTCTCCATAAAGAAGGGCCTTCTGTGTATGTTACAGTTATAGTGTTATTAATAGTGAAAATCAAGCTTATTTCATTCTCTCAAATATTATCATTTTCTGTTTTGACAATTTAAATATCAGAAAAGGGCAAATTCTAGTTACCATAGCAACAAAAGGCACAGGGCCCGCTGGACCCAGAAGTTGTTGCTCGGAGCTTCCGGATGCTGGAGCTTTTACCGATTATGCATTTTTTATACAATGTATGTAATACATATTATTCATTTACTTTCTTATTCTGTCAGACTCAGACTGTGTTTGGTCATCCTTTTTTAATATTTACAACCACAATTAGTTAACGTCACTTTGTATTAAACGATATTTATTACAAGCGCGCTAAATTAAATGTCTCTGTCAGACGTTCCCCTCCTGACAGAGAAAGGCGGTGTGGCACGTGCTGAGCGGAAGTCAGTGTGAGGAGAGAGGAGAGCTAAGATGGCGGACACGTGTGGACAGGTTTTGCTGGGGTCGGGGCTGACTGTCCTCTCTCATCCGCTCATGTACATCAAAGTTCTCATACAGGTAAAGCCTGCACTTTATAACACGTCCGCCTGTGCTCCAGAAAATATGAACATGACTTAAATACGCCAATTCTACGCGTGCGCGATTAGTCGCAGTCATCAACCCAAACCGGAAGCGACTAATCAGCTGAACATTATCTAATGAATCAACTGTTTATGTCTTCAAATATTATATTTGCAGACCAAAATACGTGACACACATGAGCATGAGAGACTGGCATTGTTTATCCCGGTGTCATAGATCTTAAACGGTCAATAAATCCATAATGTTCATAACTTTCATTACTGCAATGCCTTGTCCTCTTGACCTTCTGTGTACGATAGCTAAATTGGCATTAAACATAAGCATCTATAAGTGTTTTGAGCCGTGTTAGTTATAGAGCGGTGTTTGGTGTGTAAAGGGATGTAATTTGCTTTAAAAATGTCTTAATTGTTAAGGTGCTGTATCAACAGTAACACCATATGCACAGCAATGGCTCAATGGTTTTCGAAATCTTGTACGCCGATTGACATTCCTGACATGTCTTCCAATCTTCCATGGAACGTGTATACGGGATTTGTTTATTTAATGCTTTAAATAAGTTTTTCTTTTTTAGTTTTGGGATTTGCAAAAATACAACATAATGCTAGAACTCCCAGAGTAGTCAATTTGACTGCTTTTAGAATTATAAGCGTAATTATTCAGCGTGTGCACATTGTTTGTCTTCATAATGTGTAACTAGTTCTGTTTATATGTAGTTAGTTTCTATGTCATTACTTTTTATAAAACAGAACTTTTGATATCTGAGGTGTTCTTCTACCTTTAACTCCATTCATTTACATTTTAAGTTGAAATTGAGTCATTTTCAGTCGCTTTGAAGCCTCTTATCCCAAGGGGCTGGTCCGAGACTGGTTCTGAGTTGAGCTTGTTTTTCCACCACAGAAGAGAATGAGAGTTACCATAGCAACACACTGGTTACTTGCACCTGTCTATAACACACACCATTTCTCACATTTCAAATGTCCTGTCCATTTGTATAATACCCATACAGTTTTAGGGTCAAGTAGATAAGGTTCATTATTGAAGTGGCTAACCCTACTATAGCCGGACTAGGGATTTAAGGATTTCAAAACGAGTAGCTGTAAAGATGGCTTCAGGAAATATGCAAACCAACTTCATAAAGAGCTGATTCCCTAGAGAGGAAATATGTAGGAAGAAGGGTGGAGAACATGTAATATTATGGCAAGGCAAGTTTATTTGTATTGCTCTGTTCATAAGCAAAGGCAACTCAAAGTGCCTAACAAACAAGATAAACATTAATACATACAATGCGCAAAAGCCATAAATCATCACTGACACAAAACTATATTATACTAATATTATTTATATATATTTGTAAAATTAAATAAATAAATGAGAACCAAAATACGATCTGTCTAAAACATGATAAATACTAATCAAAAGCTAATCTAAAAAGGTGTCCTGAGCCTGCTTTTAACTCATTGTGTCCCATTGACGCACAAATACGTCAAAGCAAGTAGTAACGTCGTGTGCCATTGACGCATTAATACGTCAAATGCCTTTTTCGCTATTTTCACGTTTCCAGATGTCTATTGTATCTAATATGTATGGGGATGACTTGAGACCATATTTTATCGAGCCAGCAGGTGGCAGCATTGCTCTCTGAAAAGTAGACAGTCCATTCTTTTAGAATCTGGTGTCGGATTTCAGATAGTCATAGTACACAATATTCTGTGGGTCTTGAAAAATCAGTAAAAATCATCAGAAATGGCTGGCACTGTGGGAGTACCTGTTCTGAAATAGGCTGGCATTCAATGAGTTAAAAATATGAACGTTCTCTGCGGCCCTGAGCTGCTCTGGCAGACTGTTCCAGAGAGGGGGGCCGTAGTGCTGGAAAGATGCCTCACCGTGGCGTGTGTGTGTGTCCTGACTTTGGGAATGTTTAGGAGTCTGCAGCCGGAGGAGCGCAGGGGCCGGGAAGGTTCATAGGATAAAAGCAGCTCTGAAAGATAAGAAGGCCCAAGACCATTAAGACATTTAAAGACCATTAAAATAACCTTAAAATCGATCCTGAAACACACGGGGAGCCATTGCAGCGATTTTAAAACCGGTGTAATGTGGTCCCGCCCCCTTGTCTTAGTCAGGACACGTGCTGCTGAGTATATATATTTAATTATAATTTTATAAGAAATACATACAACAGATACACCCATACATAGATAATATTCCTCTTCCATAATTGATGTGATGATTATAACTCTCTTTCTCATGTGTTTTCTGCTGGGTTTTGTTCAGGTTGGACATGAGCCACTTCCGCCAACTTTAGGCAGGAACCTGTTCGGCCGGCAGGTGTACCAGCTGCCTGGCCTGTTTGCCTATGGTGAGTGCAGCAAATTATTGACATTAACATTTACAGTTTATATCAGTGTGATTGTGGTTGGAAGAAACTATATATTGTGGTTTTCCTGATTATTAAATTTGTTCAGTTTAATAGAAATGCTTTATTGGGTTGTCAGAAGTCAGTCTGTCTTTCTCGCTCCCTCTGTCTTTCTCTTTCTCTATCTCAAAAGTAATAAATAAGTGAGCTCCGTATCTGTAGAATATGTTTCTAGATTACTGTTGGTAATACCAGATTTCTTGTTATTTGATATATTTTATGAACGTTTGCTTTTGTCTTGTTCTGTTGCAGCAAAACACATAGTGAAGATCGACGGTAAATCCGGTCTGTTTAAAGGTCTGGTTCCAAGGCTCTGCGCTGGTACTTTGGGGACAGTGGTGCACAGCCAAGTGGTGCAGGTGAAGCGACTACACTACAATAATGATGCCTAATCTGTCCAAACACAGTGGGCTTTGATACAGGTAGTCCATAGGTCAGTGTGTCAGTCTCTTAGTTCAATTGGGTTTTGAGGATTTACCAGGACATGGGAGACGAAAGGAGACTGTTTCTCTAAAGCAGGCGAGTCACATGGGTCCTCAAAAGGTTGTGGGGGTGCAGGATTGTGAAAAACCTCGTAGAGGCCCAAGTTCAGAGGGGGATCTATTCCAGACAGGCTGTAGATCCAGCCTCAGTCCTGGAGTACAAAGCTACATGTTTACGAGTCTGATCATGTTTCTTTGTTTCAGAAATGCCACGAGAACGACAATGTCCGGGTAAGCGGTATACTTCGTTTTTAAAGAGGCTTCATGAGTTCAGTAGTGACTATAAATAAACTCATTTTTGGCTATTCAAAATGATAATGAGAGTTGTTTTTAATGTGAATTGGTGTCTTAAGTAGAACTGGTTTGCTGAAACAAATGAAAGGATATTTTAGAGAAGCATTATGTAAAAATCTGGCCAAAAGTGGTACTGCAGTCACAGTCAATATTTTGTAGTCCTCTCCCTGACTCAGGTTGCCAGATACACACCAAATTCAGCAGCAAACACAAGGAATTATTTTATCAGTTGTTTGTCTGTCTCCATTCACATTGCCATGAGGCATGCTAATGTTGAATGAAGGTTTTGAATTAATGTTTTTTTTTATTTTTTTATTTGGACATTTGAGATGAGAAAAATAAAATAAAAGCAATTTAATTATGCATAGATTATGCAAATAAGCAATTGATGTCCAAAATAGGAGTGGGAAGAATGGATGTTGGAACGTATTTGGGTTTGCTCCAGAGGATATCACCTTTCAATTTTATTTAGTCCCTATCTTTTAGACATACATGTATAAGTCCCACATCAAAAAGAGACTAACATTATTTTATTTGGGTACATGTGGTCTCAAATTATTATTTTTACAAATAAGCTATAATCTGCAAAAAACGTCTTGATTGTCTTTTACTTGATTTTGAGCAATTTGTCATAAAATTTGATATTATTCAGGTAGACACTACCCAGACTCGAACTCGGGTTGCTGAAACATAAGCTCCATGGCTTAACCATTATGCCACCATTAGGCATGATAGAAATCCTTGTTTTAGTTTTTGGTTTGTCGTTAATGATTTGAGAGTCATAACAAGACTTTTTTTTTTTAGTTCTGTGGCCACATGTTATTTCACCAGTGAGATAGGCCTTGAGGAGTTCTGGCAACACGGATCACTCACTTCTTGATTGGCAAAAAGGCAGAGGGTAGGACATCTAAATCAAAACAACGACTTTTACAGGTCGTAAAACTAATTTTGATATTAATCTCTACTGAACTACTGTCATCAGTTAAAGATGTATTAGAAAAGAGCATGATTTAATAACGCCTTTTGAAATATTGGGGCCATTTAATGATGACTTGACATGCAAATATTACATATTGCAACTTTAAACAGAAGGGGCAGAGTTACATATTTGTGCCAGAAGTACTTCATAATAGTGCCAAACTTGCTGTGTCCTTTGGCCAGACACTTCACCCCCATTCCTAGAATGAGTCTGGTGTGTGAGTGAGCGGTTTGAAACTGATTTATTATTTGTATTTATAAATGGTGAAAGTCCATTTTGCATAATATGTATCCTTCGCTTTACCTTTTGTCTGTAGCGTGTCCAAAAATATATTTACTAAAAACACAGATGCGTTCTGACATACTGTTGTGTTTTCAAGCTACCTGGCGGCCCACAGAAATCTCAAGCTGGTTCCTTGGAGCATGTTGTGAATGAGGTGAACTAAGTAATTTTTCACAAACTCTTTTTCTGTAAAAAAAGTTGTATTTTCAAACCTTCTCTTTTCAAACAGACGACCAAAGAAATGATCGCTCGCTCCTGTGCCACAGTTGTCACACATCCTTTTCACGGTAACTCCAGTGTTGCACATATAGCACTTTTCCAAATGAATTAGTTTTCTTTGTGTAGCACAGTTCATACATCTCAAGTGCTCGCTAAAATGAAACTATCACACAATTGTTAATCATAAATAATCACAGTACATTAAATTTCAGATTAATAAATTAGCTACATAAATCTGAAAGACTGCCTCCCCATGTCTATTCTTGCATCTGTGAACCATCAGGAGGCCAGTCCCTGTGTTCCTCCGAGTTCTTATGGCACTAACATGTCACAGATGTAGTTTGGTGCGAGGCCATAGACTTGTGCACAAGCAGAGCTGCTTTAAAGTCTATTCTGAGCCACAAGATGCAAGCTAAACATCATCAAAATCCCTGTTTGACTTGGAGATGAACTATCTGCAGCTTGAGTTTGTGACTTTTTTGGGTTGAGGGACTTGTGTTTGTCATATAGTCTCTTTCAAAGATTTATGAACGTGTCTTTGCTTTTCAGTGATAACATTAAGATGCATGGTGCAGTTTATTGGCAGAGAAACAAAGTACAGGTAAAGTCTTAGTCATGGGTCTTCAACTCTTTCCTCAAAGAGCCGGTGGGAGTCAGTCTGAACCTGAAGACTTGAGGAATCTCTGGAGACGGGTGTGCTCCTGCTCAGTTGGATCGAAAACCTGCAGCTACACCGGCCCTTTGAGAGAGTTGAATACCCCTGTATGTAATGTGCCATACACAAAGTGAAAGATGCTACATTCTCATCTCTCTTTTGCAGTGGTATCTTTGACTCTGTTGTCACCATCTACAGAGAAGAGGGTGTTCTTGGGTTCTTTGCGTAAGTATTTTTGCTGATTAGGAAATAATAAAAATGAAGGTCACATGACTCACTATGGTGGTTCTGGTGGCAGCGGCCTGATCCCTCGTCTGCTGGGAGACGTCCTGGCGCTCTGGATCTGTAACATGCTGGCTCACTTCATCAACACTTACGCCATTGACGATTCGGTAAGAACCTTAACCCATTGAGGCCGGGAACACATTCCTGCATTTCTACCTTTTGAGCCGGGAGCGCTGTAGCACACTTCTACCTTTAAGGCCAGGAAAGCGGGCACATCTTTTTTTCTTGACCTATTCTCTTCATTGATCAATTCTCTGATGAAATGTATCAAGATATACCAGGGATGAGAATGTTCTGCGAATCCGCAAATTCCGACTTTACTGCTGAAAATATCATTTCTGTGAAATGTGACCGCGGATTGTTTGCGTTACGTACTCGAACAAGATTCACATCTTCGTCTTGACCTCGGGAACAACTGTGGCCGCTTTGACAACAGCTCTGCGAACGCACAGCCGTAAAGTGGTCACGTACCGAGCGCGGACAGAGCCATAAATGCACATACAGGACCATCCCCAGCTTGTTGCACGTGAGGGTCTTTCTTGTATCCCCGTCTCTGACCCGTCTCTCCCCCATGTTTCCCCCACGTCTCCCCCATATCTCCCCACGAAGCGCAGCCAAAAGTAACTGAATTAAAGCTCAGGTACCAACATTTTTGCTTGCATTGACAATGCATGTTAATTTGTGCACAATGTAAAATGTTGTGAACAAATCAAAACTGTCTTGTTTTTTATTTTGCTTACTTAAGAGCCCTGTGAGTCCTTATTCGACATTTTGGGCTGAGAGTGGATTTTTTATATTTCTTTCCACATAGTTAGTGGCATAGGCAAACTCTTTTTGAGAAACATGTGTTAGTCTCACATTATTTTTAGTTGTTTTATTACCTATTCTGTGTGGAAGTTGTATTTTTTTGTATTCTTCTACTGAAAGTTTATAATAATACACTCTTTCCTATTGACAGAAAATGGAACTTAAGAAAAACTAGGAAAAAAAGGACTGCACTAGAAGACCGCATAGGTTTATGTTGTTGTGTCACTCAATAAAAATGTATATTTTTACATGAAACCTGCAGAAATGCAGTGAAAAGCCTTTATCTTGAAACCGTGGGGTTACTTTTGTATTAATCTTTTTTAGATGAGTCACACCGGGGAAATGAAGAACTGCTCTCAGGCCGTGACGGGGGTAAGTTCCTTTCAGATAAATACCTGTAAGAATATTCACACCGATCTGAGCGTTAATTCTGCTTTGTTCCCAGTTCTTTGCCAGTATGCTCACCTACCCCTTTGTTCTGGTGTCTAACCTAATGGCCGTAAATAACTGTGGGTGAGTTGTCCAATTCTCTAAAACGGTTTTTTTCTCATCCTTTTTCAGCTGTGGCACACCTTTTCCATTGAAAATGACAATCATGTAGCACACCACCAGCAAACATACAAACATGAAATTCTGCGGCCTTCAAGGAAAGTGGATTGTATAGAAATCAAACGAGCACAAAAGTCTTTCTAATCTTCTCACATAATTTTGACCAAATTGGTGATATTGGATTTCCAAAGGCACAACATTTATTTATTTGTTTGGAGGATAAGCCCCTAGAGATGAAACATTTCGTTTTCGAGGGGGTCCTCAAAATCGCACAAAATGACAGATTCAGTACAGACAGTAGAGCAAACAATAATGCAAAATTCATAGAAACTAATTCAAACACATACACACACCCACTCACACACATCACACACTGATTGTTGTTCATATAATGTCTGTTATAAATTAACAAAGATTACAGTTAGTATTTATAGTAGTGCATATCATTGAATATAATTTTAAATTCATAATTTATGCTCAATAACACTGGCATGGGTTCTGGAGGTGTTGGACCAGAGCGTTTTTAAACAGAGGCAGAGAAGTGAAAGAGCGAATGGATGAAGGTAAACTGTTCCAGTCAGAAGGAGCTTTAAATTTAAACGAATGTTTTCCGACTTCTTTCTTAACTCTTGGGACAACTAAAAACATTGGTTTGCATGGCGCAAACTGTAAGAGGATTGGAAAGGAATCAAATATTGTTTTAAATAGTCAGGAAAACTTAAATTGATACATTTATCGATGTAACATCTCAAGGCTTTTTCAGATAAAGAATATATATTATCTACATAGTACCTAGGCCTGTCACAAAAATAATTATTATCACGGTGGCCGAGTGGATAGCACTCTCGCCTCTCAGCAATAAGGTTTCCCCTACCACTAAAAACATGTACAATAGGTCTGGCATGCGCCTTCTGTACTGGCCCCGCTCCCATCTGTGTGGAGAGGACAAATGCCCAAAAAGAACAATTGTAAACCGCTTTGAGACTCTGATCTGAAGTGAAAAGGCGGTATATAAATAAAGATTACTTACCACTTACTACTACTTATTCTATCAACTTAACATGCACCACCTGTTTTATACAATAGCTGTCCACAAGCTTTGAAAGCCTTTAGTCCCATTTTTTTCACTCGACTCACAGTAGTGTGGTTTTCAGACTCTCCGGAGGACTGCCTCCTTATGCTTCTGTGTATCCCAGTTGGATCGACTGCTGGAGGCATCTAAGCAGAGAGGTGAGTCATGTAATCATCAGGGGACGTGATGCGTAATGGACTTTTGATCATGTTATAGTAGAGTTGAGTATCATGTCTTCCCTAAGCTCTTCATTGGCCCATGTTTGACCAGAGGGAGAGGGGGCGAGAGGACCAGAGGACCAGAGGACCAGAGGGAGAGGGGGTGAGAGGACCAGAGGACCAGAGGGAGAGGGGGCGAGAGGACGAGAGGACCAGAGGGAGAGGGGGCGAGAGGACGAGAGGACCAGAGGACCAGAGGGAGAGGGGGCGAGAGGACCAGAGGGAGAGGGGGCGAGAGGACCAGAGGGAGAGGGGGCGAGAGGACCAGAGGGAGAGGGGGCGAGAGGACCAGACGACCAGAGGGAGAGGGGGCGAGAGGACCAGACGACCAGAGGGAGAGGGGGCGAGAGGACCAGACGACCAGAGGGAGAGGGGGCGAGAGGACCAGAGGGAGAGGGGGCCAGAGGACCAGAGGACCAGAGGGAGAGGGGGCGAGAGGACCAGAGGGAGAGGGGGCGAGAGGACCAGAGATCCATAGCGGCCCCTTATACAAAGGCACCATTTCCTCCACCTGGTTCCTCTGACCACGCTGCTCCCAGACAAGGCAACTGTCGGTCTTTTTCTTTTTTGAATCAGTGATGTCGATATGCCAGCCTTGCAATTTCAGCTCAAAGGAAAATAGATCTGCACATTGGTAATTAGATCTTTAATGGAGCCTTTTGATGTGATCATGGTTAGACATGACATTTGATGCTGGTTTATTTATTTTTTTGCAAATGTAAGTGAAATATTGTGCTTTCTGATCACAGGGCAACATGAGCAGAGGAAACAGCTTATTTTTCCGGAAACTTCCAGCGGGAAAGATGTACGCGCTGGAGCAGAAGAGATTTTTTTAACCATCATGACTCTGGGATTAACCGCACCTCGAAACGGGAGATAATTTTGCCTAATCCTTGTTTTGGCACTTAGTTTCTTTTGTAAGCACTTCTTTACCATGTCTCTCTTAATTGACTCCATTCACGTTTGGCTAATCTAGATACGTCAAGAAAACTTGGTTAACTACGTCATTTTAATAATGTATACGTGGCCCCATATTTTTATATATAATCCATGGACTTCTGTTTCTCGTGGGAGGACTTGTTTGAAAACCCCAGTCTGCATGTGATCTGCTAATGTTAAAAATACAGAGGGGACCTTTGTAGTGACTCGTCAAATGTTAATTGTCGCGCCCTAGATCCCTGTCGGGGTTTGGAATAAGTGGAAGTGGTTGTGTCGCATGTGTGATGGTCAGAGACTCCAGATGGCAAAGTGCTTGTATGATATAATGACTGACCCAAATAAATAATGCTTTTTTGCACTTGTTCTTTGGATTTGTGCAATTATTAGGGCTTCAGGAATGGTTTAAGAAAACGCATAAAACTGATGTCCACTTTAAAACATCTGGTTAAATTTGCAATAAATAAAAACAAACTTTTTGGTACTGATGACATCGGGAGGACCCAGAACCTGGAGATCAGCAGCCACACATCAAGGAAATGTGGGCTTTGTCTTAAAGGTTGAGTGAAGAAAATATGCTATTGCCCCCCTGTGATGTCACTGTCCTAGCCTGCACCACTAGTATCTCTAGAGGAACAGTTGATCAATTATATACAAATGTAAACTACTGCATTACAATGTTTTTTCTCCCAATGATTCCTGTCAAATGTTTTTGCTTGTTTTTGCTCAGTTTTATGGCACTTTGGATTGTTGCAAGTGATCATCCACACACAGTGATGGGAGTGGGGTCACTCATGCTGAAACATTTCTAGGATAGTATTTTTATGTTCATTTATTTGTGCAATAAAGATAAAAGATGTATTGTACCAGTTTATAGCAGGAGTGCTAATTTACACTAATCTCTGGACTACAGTGGTGGGGACATCAGAACGAAGTTAGTGTAAGCACTTGTGAAGCACAAACCACTGCACCCTCCAGTGAAGAAACAATCCATGCATGTTAAAATCCATTTATTTACATATTCACTGCTAACATTGTATCAAAAGATGGCCATTACAAGTACTTTTAAATAGGGTTACAAAGCTCTTTAAACTTTAGAGGTTGAACCATAGTTTTCTTGAAGTGCCCGAGACTCAATATAAATTTAGCAGTTTGGAGAAGACTGCGCGCTGGTGGATTCCTCTTCAGGATCTAGTGAGCTGCTGTGAAGGGCGCTGTGAGCCGCCATCTCCTCTCTATTGGAGACTGTGTGTCCGCACTGCACACACCTGTAGCGCCCCCTGATGTGCTGCCACTCGATTCGTCTGTCAAGAGGAGAACCTGAAAATAAAAATGATAAAACCAGTCATTAAGACAAAACATTTTGCAATAGATCCTCAGGCCGTAAAACTCTTGGGGCGTTCAGATTGGATCATGCGTTGCTGCGACATTCAATTCAAAGTCAATGGTCACGTCCGTTCAAGCGGGAAACTGCATGTGCGTCACGGCACGCTTGTATTGCGCGGCAGAGGTGCAGGAGCACCAACTCGACACAGGCAGCCACACGTGCAGCGACCAATCCGAGAGCCGCAACGTGGTCAAAGGGACACTAGCGGTCTAGCGAGCAGATGACGATACAGTGGGGAAAAAAGTATTTAGTCAGCCACCGATTGTGCAGGTTCTCCCACTTAAAATAATGACAGAGGTCTGTAATTTTCATCATAGGTACACTTCAACTGTGAGACAGAATGTGAAAAAAGAAAAATCCAGGAATTAACATTGTAGGATTTTTAAAGAATTTATTTGTAAAATATGGTGGAAAATAAGTATTTGGTCACTTCAAACAAGGAAGATCTCTGGCTCTCACAGACCTGTAACTTCTTCTTTAAGAAGCTCTTCTGTCCTCCACTCGTTACCTGTATTAATGGCCCCTGTTTGAACTCGTTATCTGTATAAAAGATAGCCCAAATGTAACCCAAAACGATATTTCAACCACTGATAGTCTCCCTCGATCTGGGGCTCCACGCAAGATCTCATCCCATGGGGTCAAAATGATCATGAGAACTGTGAACAAAAATCCCAGAACCACACAGGGGGACCTGGTGAGTGACCTGCAGAGAGCTGGGACCAAAGTAACAAAGGTTACCATCAGTAACACACTACGACGACAGGGAATCAAATCCTGCAGTGCCAGACGTGTCCCCCTGCTGAAGCCAGTGCATGTCCAGGCCCGTCTGAAGTTTGCCAGAGAGCACAAGGATGATACAGTACAGCAGAGGATTGGGAGAATGTCATGTGGTCAGATGAAACCAAAGTAGAACTGTTTGGTATAAACTCAACTCGTTGTGTTTGGATGAAGAAGAATACTGAGTTGCATCCCAAGAATACCATACCTACTGTGAAGCATGGGGGTGGAAACATGCTTTGGGGCTGCTAAGGGGACAGGACGACTGATCTGTGTTAAGGAAAGAATGAATGGGGCCATGTATCCTGAGATTGAGCCAAAACCTCCTTCCATTGAGTTAAATTTCTGTTATTGATCAAATACTTAGTTTCCACCATAATTTACAAATAAATTCTTTAAAAATCCTAAAATGTGAATTCCTGGATTTTTCTTTTCACATTCTGTCTCTCACAGTTGAAGTGTACCTATGATGAAAATTACAGACCACTGTCATTAATTAAAGGAGCAATATGTAATATTTGCATGTCATGTCATCATTAAATGACCCGAATATTTCAAAAGGCATTATTAAATCATACTCTTTTCGAATTCATCTTTAACTGATAACAGTAGTTCAGCCGAGATATTTGATTATCAAAATTAGTTTTACGACCTGTAAAAGTTATTGTTTTGATTTTGATGTCCTACCCTCCGCCGTTTCGCCAATCAGGAAGTGTCATGTAAGTCCGTGATCGGGTTGCCAGAACTCCGTGCGGCTCACTAATCTCAGAGGTAAAATAACATGTGGCGCAGACTAAAAAAGGTCTTGTTATGACTCTCAAATCATTAATGACAAAAAGACTAAAACGAGGATTTATATCAGGATGCCTTTGAACAATTGAGACAGCTGAAAGAATTTTCTAATTTGATTCCGTTCTTCACAGAGTCTCTATTCGTGTCAATCGATGGTCTAGTGGTCTAAACTGTGCGCTTACGATGCAGGAACCCGAGTACGATTCCGGGCTATTTCTTTTTGTATTTATTGCATGTTATCACATTCTATGACAGATTGCTCTAAAAACGGTAAAAGACGAAGGTCAAGACGTTTTTTTTTTGCAGATTATAGCTTAATTGTAAAAATAATCATTTAAGACCACATGTACCCCAATTAAAATAATGTTAGTCTCTTTTTGATGTGGGACTTTTACATGTTTGTCTAAAAAATAGGGAATAAATAAAATTGAAAGGTGATATAGTCTTGAGCAAACCCTGATGTTGATACGCTGAAGAAATACGTTCCAACATCCATTCTTCCCACTCCTATTTTGGACATCAATTGCTTATTTATTTTGCATAAACTATGTATAATTACATTGCTTTTATTTTGTTTTTGTTTTTTATCTCAAATGTCCAAATACGACAGGGCGACAGTAGCTCAGTTGGTAGAGCATTGGCCTTTGAGCCTGAAGGTCGTGGGTTCAAGCCCACCAGAAGACCTACTTCACGACTCCCACTGATGACTGCTGTCGTTGTGTCCTTGGGCAAGACACTTAACCCCACTTTGCCTGAAGCTCCCACTGAAAGATCTCAGCTCCAGTGGACTCACCACCTGCAGGAGGATCAGTGAGGGGCTGGTGCTCTGTGTACTGGGTGCAGCTCTGACTGCCACCCCCCCAACCCAGAAATGGATTAAGGGGAAGAAAATGGATGGATGGATGGATGGATGAATGAATGGCATTAATCAAAACATTCATTCAGCATTAGCACGGATGTCATGGCAATGTGAATGGAGACGGACAAACAACTGATAAAATAATTCCCTGTGTTTGCTGCTGGATTTGGTATGAATCTGGCAACCTGAGTCAGGGAGAGTGGGAGAGGACTACAAACTATTGACTGTAACTGCAGTACCACTTTTGGCCAGATTTTTACATATTGTTCCTTTAAGTGGGAGAACTTGCACAATTGGTGGCTGACCAAATACTTTTTTGCCCCACTGTACACGTAAACAGCCAAAACAATAGCTAAACCAGGACTGACAATGGGGGACACAGTGTTTGTGAACATATGCTTCCAGTTCTCATGCTCCCGTGACCGTAAACAAGTGCCACTCATGGGTTCACCGATGCGGAAGTACAGTTTAATGATAAAATAAACTTATGGTGCAGCTCCGTGAACACATACTGCTGTTTTATAAAGTCTCTGGACACTGAGACGCTGCAGAGATGCATTCTTGGATAAGAACTTTACACAAAAAGCCGCTAGCATCAAAGCCCGCCCGCCACTTCCGCCCTGCGTTTTTTCCCACCGTAGGGCAGGACTTCAGGTTTTCTAAACTCAAGCGTTGGAAATTTAAAGAATGTGCGTCCAGTGCGCGTGTAAGCTGCATTCAAGCATTGACAGTCTGAATGCCCCATTTGTCCTTCCTTGTGTAAAAATGAAAGGCCTCCAGCTGATGCCTAGAGTCAGGAGTAAACATGGGGAGGAAGCATTACAGATTCATGCTGCTATAATCTGGAACAGTCTTCCTGATGAGGAGAGAAAGGCTTTCTCTGAAAATGTTCAAATCCAGGTTAAAAACAGTTCTGTTTATCTGTGCATACAACTGATCTTCACACGACTTAAGGCATTTAAATCATAAATGATCACAATACATCTAGTGTGTAGTTACATCCGGTACAATTAAGTGAACTAGATGGAACACACCTCGAGTTTCTGATTCGTGAGTGACCCACAACCTACCTTGGGCAGATCTCCATGCACTCGTTTTTGGCCTCCGGTAAAATTCATTCTGAGTCAAATCTTCGCCAGGCTCCAGGTTTGGAAACACTATGTCATTTACTAGCATAGCTGTTATTGATGAATCCAAGATCTGCTGGACTAAATGTGGCGGGGCAAGATCTAGGGTTGGGGAGTCGAAAAGAAGCTGATCTGACATGGATAATGGAGGGGACTGGTTTGGGACATAAGGCTGGTTGAATTCAGTCTGAACCAGAGAATTGCTGAACTGGGATGAAACGAAGGGCTGGTGGGGTCGTGTCTGGACAGGAACTGTTTTTTGAACATGAGGTTTCTCGGGTTGGATTTGGACAGGGGCCCTTTTTTTAACATGAGTTTTCTTGGGTTGGATATGGACAGGGGCCTGTTTTTTTAATTTGAGGCTGGCTAGCTTGGGTCCGTACAGGGGGCTCGTTTTTGACACGAAGCCGGCGAGATTGAGACTGAGCAGGAGCAGGGGCCTGATTTTGAACAATGGCCTGGCTAGATTGAGACTGAGCAGGAGCTTGATTTTTAACAATGGCCTGGCTAGATTGGGACTGCACAGAGGCCTGGTTATGAACATCAGGGGAGTCAGATTGTATCTGGGCAGGGGACTGGGTTTTGACATAAGCTTTGTTGAATTGGGTTTGATCCGGTGCTTGGGTTTTGACATCAGGTTGGTTCAAACGGGGCTGTACAGAGGCCTGGTTCATGACCTGAGGCTGGGTGGATTGGAACTGGTTCATGACCTTAGGCTGGCTGGATTGGGACTGGTTCATGACCTTAGGCTGGCTGGATTGGGACTGGTTCATGACCTTAGGTTTGTTGGATTGGGTATGGGCATGGGCCTGTTTTTTATCAGGCTGGTTCAATTGGGTTTGAACAGAGGTCTGATTTATGACAAGAGACTGGTTGGATTTGGTCTGGCCTTGGGCCTGGTTTTGAACATCAGGTGGGTTGGATTGGGTCTGGGCAGGGGCCTGGGTTTTGACATCAGGTTTGTTTGATTGGGTCGGTGTAGGGGCCTGGTTTTTGACATTAGTCTTGTTGGACTGAGACCGTTTTTTAACATGAGACTTGTTGGATTGGGACTGGTTTGAGACCTGAGGTTGGCTGGATTGGGACTGGTTTGGGACATGGGGTGGGGTGGATTGGGTCTGGGCAGGGGCCTGGTTTATGATATCAAGTTTGTTTGATTGGGTCTGTGCAGGGGGCTGTTTTTTGACATTAGTCTTGTTGGACTGAGACCGTTTTTTAACATGAGACTTGTTGGATTGGGTTGGGTCAGGGGACTTGTTTTGGACATGAGGTTGGCTGGATTGGGACTGGTTTGCAACATGAGGTTGGCTGGATTGGGACTGGTTTGGGACATCAAGTTGGTTGGATTGGGATTGGTTTTGAAAATCAAGTTGGCTGGATTGGGACTGGTTTGGGTCATGAGGTTGGCTGGAAAGGGACTGGTTTGGGACATCAAGTTGGCTGGATTGGGACTGGTTTGGGACACGAGGTTGGCTGGATTGGGACTGGTTTGCAACATGAGGTTGGCTGTATTGGGACTGGTTTGCAACATGAGGTTGGCTGGATTGGGACTGGTTTGGGACATGAGGTTGGCTGGATTGGGACTGATTTGGGACATGAGGTTGGCTGGATTGGGACTGATTTGGGACATGAGGTTGGCTGGATTGGGACTGGTTTGGGACATGAGGTTGGCTGGATTGGGATTGGTTTTGAACATCAAGTTGGTTGGATTGGGACTGGTTTGGGTCATGAGGTTGGCTGGAAAGGGACTGGTTTGGGACATCAAGTTGGCTGGATTGGGACTGGTTTGGGACATGAGGTTGGCTGGATTGGGATTGGTTTTGAACATCAAGTTGGTTGGATTGGGATTGGTTTTGAACATCAAGTTGGTTGGATTGGGACTGGTTTGGGACATGAGGTTGGCTAGATTGGGATTGGACAGGGGCCTTGTTGAACTGGGATGGGGCAAGGGGCTGAATGGATTGGGTCTGAACAGGGGGAAGCCTGATCACATTGTCACTTGGTGGAGCAGTGGTTTTCACTGGGTCTATATCCATCGGAGAAGGGGTTGAAGAGAAGGGGGGGAAGTTCGACTTGGGAGCTTTGGAGCAGGAGCGCAAATGAACGAGAAGTCCACGATAGGAACGCAGTTTGGAATGACAGTTCTCGCACCTATGGATGAGAAGATGTACAATTACACATCATGGATCTTCTTAAAAAAACTTTACTACTTTGATTTAGCACAATGTCTACTTATAGTCAATTACATATCAAGCTCAATGTGTATTGCCCGAGATGCACCAACTCAACAGTTTGACATTTGAACGAGTTGCAGAGAGTTGAAAACATAGTGGAATGTGACTATTTGTCAGATGAAGCAGCAATGTTTTATGATTGGTTTGCGCGAACTGTGCTTGTGATATGTGGGGGCAGACCAGTGGGGGCGGGTCCCGGCTCAAAAGTGGCCAAAATGACGTGCGCAGACATGCTTGCAATACCACCCCGGGCCGATGGGGGTGGACCCAGAAGTAGAATTAGCCAATGCTAACATATAGCATTGGCAGACCTCTCGAAAACGTCTTTACAGGATGGACCAAAAGTTGGCTCTTGGCCCAAAGCTCCGTTCCACATGTGTGTCAATGCTGAGGGGGGTGAATTTTTTTGGTCCACTCTAGTTTACTCGCTGTGAATTTTTTAAGTCTCTCGTTCAAATGAATGGAGCTTGCGCCGACTGACGCATGCGCAGATGCGTTTTTTCACAATTTTTTTGTGGGCGGGACCACTCGCGGCCATTTTGAATAGCTCCAGTAGAGCACATTTTTTGGCCCATTAGTTAGAACGGCGGAGATAGGCGTGACTGTCTGTATACAGTCTATGGGGCAGACACAGGGATGGGGGCTAGTCCCTCACGGCAGCAGAGGCGTGGCTTTGCAAGTATGTGCTCCGAGGCAGAGAGGAGCAGTTATAGCTGGTGCCCTGTGGGCATGTGGTGTTGATCTAATTGTTGAAGAGCAGAGAATACTCTATGTATTCTTAAGGAAAGCCGCGTTCCTGCTCATCTTTTGGCGTGCAGCTGATCAGCAACCTCCAGCTGATCAGCAACCTCCAGCTGATACAACCGTGAAAGAAACAATTTAATCTAACCATGCGAGAGCCGCTTCAGTTGCATTTCTTCTCCACAGACATGAGACAAGCCATGCATGTAATAAAGAATATCACTTGGTCTGCATATGACTGTGATTTACAACATAAATGATGATAATCATGATAAATTTCCATGAGAAAATTTTCAGTCAAATCTTTTTTTTTGCTTTAACCCCTGGTTTATTTAGCTGTTCCTTGTCAATACAGGAATGTCTGAGGACAGTGACAATCCGGGACTTTACTCAAATAAACTGAATTGAACTGAATGTCCTGGGTGATGTCGCGTAATATTCCAGTTTTTCAATTAGTGTTGTATAAACTGTTTGTGCAGAGACCACAGAGAAAGAATTTGGTGAAAACTCACATAAAGTAGATGTTTGGTTTGTAGTGGTGCCTCAGGTGCTCCATCAGTTTCTGCATGTTTGGGAAAGAGCCCCTGCAGCCGATCACGGAACACAGCATCTTTTTACCTTGTGCAGAAAATCAGTAAATGTTCCAATTAAGTGAATACAGGATATTAGTTGATTTGTTGTTTAGATCCCAAAAGGGCAGTGAATTTCATATATATATATATATATATATATATATATATATAAAACATCGACCAAAACCAATTTCAAGGTATTCAACGTATTTTGAAACACACTTTCATTTAACAAAATCCCTGCTCATTATGCTGGAGTTTATGTAAGGTGAAGAAGATTAAATAGTTGACTGCTTCTTTCAATAATAGATTAGTTGGAATACTCATACTGGTACTCACCTGGGAGAGACTGAACTGGGAGATCATGGTCCTTAATGTGTCTTTCGAGTAAATTTGCGTCACTGTAAACCCGCTTACAGCCGTACACAGTGCACGTCAGCCTCTTGTTTCCTGAAATACAACGTCTAGGATTAACGTGATATATTCATATTAAATAATGCTAGCTCATATCAGCTGTGTAAACATGCTAGCTAGAGCAGGAGCTAGCTTGGCAAAACGCTAGCTGTAAAATGTAGCTTACTACAATTCAGCTTCCCATTTAACGTAATATTATAATTTGGTTTCAAAACCTTTATGTAAATACTACATTTTCTCTTACGAACCGTCATTACGAGTAGCTATATCCATTGCTTCAGCAAATGAAGACATATTCGGCTTGCAAAGAGGACAGCAGCATCAAAAGCGACAGCGGATGCAGGACTTCAAGACCCAGCATGCATCGCGGTAAACACCCACTTCCGTGACTTCATCGGAACAGATTTTTTTTATATCGTTTCATGTGTTTTTGGCATAGACTGTATATGTTTTGGTCTTCAGACATTGAACAGCACATGCATCACGTTTTTGTTTCCATCCAGAGTTTCCCCATGCGAAACATATATTATGAACACGAAACGTATAGATTCTTTTTAGGGAACCAAAAACTTGTTTTTTTTAGTCATGCGAAACAAGGGCCAGACACCCAACACCAGAAATCCCACAATTCTACTAGAACTCCTGGAGCTGTCATTTTGACTTTTCTTATTCAAACCCAAGGAATTGTGAGAAATTCCTCTGTATTTCTGAGAAATATATTAAAATGTATTAAAAGTCACTTTCTCTTCTTCAAGTGCAACAGCGTTTGAAACACTGTCCAGATGCAGTGAGCTCAGAGCTGCTCGTTCTTGTGCCTTCATGATGTGCATCTTGTCGAACAAAGGTAAGTTTGTTCTATGTGCATAACCAGGATGTATTTTACTAAACCTATATGTAGAAACTTGACAGTGTCAACATTATGGAAGCCCTTTTCCGCCATGTAAAAAAAATGTCTACAGAAAGTCATAATTTTGAGTTTTAAACTCATAATTTTGAGTTTAAAAGTCAAAATTATGAGTAAGTTGTAATTATGAATTTAAAACTCGAACTTATGAGTTTTAAACACCGCGGTGAAGTTGGTTTGAAGTTGGATATCCGACAGACATTCAACGGTCTTTCGCTCTCGGCAAACCTCTCCTTCGCTCTGGGTACGTTACGACTGAAAAGCCGCCGCAACATTTAAGTGCAGCCGTACTACAGACAGTACGGTAAACACACGGAGACATGTACGCTGGTATTTTATTATTGAGTGTTTGGTTTGAAATTTTAAATTAATTTAAAATACTTAAAGAAGAGGTGTACCTCCTACAGCTAGTGGAGGACTATGGTCCTGACTAATTTGGAGTCAATAGATCACATGACCTAGAAGCTATTGAGCTAAAATGCTAATATTTATGTATACAAATTAATAAAAAATACTTAAAACATTTAAATGACAAAAGAAGAGGTGTACCCCCTGCAGCTAATGGAGGACTATGATTCTAAACTGATTTGGGGTCAATAGATCACATGACCTGGAAGCTATTGACCTAAAATGCTAATATTTACATATACAAAATAATTTCCATCCATCCATCATCTACCCTTTAATCCATTTCTGGGTCAGGGGGGTGACAGTCAGAGATGCCACCCAAGTCTCATAGCACCAGCCCCTCACTGACCCTCTGCAGGTGGTGAGTCCACAGGAGGACGGCTGCTCTCTGAGTGTGAGCATAGCCTTGATCTTTCAGTGGGGGCTTTTGGGCAAAGTGGGGTTAAGTGTCTTGCCCAAGGACACAACGACAGCAGTCATCAGCGAGAGTCGGTGGAGAAGGTGTAGGGGTGGGAAAACAAAATAATTTGAAATACTTAAAACATTTAAATGACAAAAAAGAGGTGCACCTTCTGCAGCTAGTGGAGGACTATGATCCTGACTAATTTGGAGTCAATAGATCACATGACCTGGACGCTATTGAGCTAAAATGCTAATAATTACGTATAAAAATGAATTAAAAATACTTAAAACATTTAAATGATAAAAGAAGAGGTGTACCTGCTGCAGCTAGTGGAGGACTATGATCCTGACCTGATTTGGAGTCAATAGATCACATATGGATAGCACGTTATTTAGAACCGTGCATGGTGCAGCCAGGGGCCCACCCTCGAGCCAGGCCTGGGGTTGGGGCTCATATGCAAGCGTCTGGTGGCCAGGCCTTAGCCCACGGGGCCGGCCGGGCTCAACCAGATGGGATGACGTGGGTAGGTCCTCCTGGGACCCAACACCCACAGAGGGATCCATGGTGGAGAGGTGTTGAGAGGACTGGGCAGTAGTCGAAAGCGGAGACCTCACTTCTTTTCTTGGGCGGAAGAGGCCCGAGCTTGTGGGGGAGGTTGAGAGAAACCGACGACTAGAGATAGTCGGCCTCACCTCCACACACAGCTTGGGCTCTGGAACCCAAATCCTTGAGAGGGGTTGGACGCTCCACTTTTCTGGTGTTTCTCACGGGGAGAGGCGGCGAGCTGGGGTGGCCATTCTCATTGCCCCCCATCTCAGCCGCCACGTGTTGGAGTTCTCCCCGGTGAATGAGAGGGTCGCGTCCCTCCGCCTCCGGGTGGGGGACAAGTCTCTCACTCCTTCACTGTATCCAACAGATCACTGAGTGGATGCAAAATAACTTCCTTCAGCTAAACGCAGACAAAACTGAAATGATTGTCTTTGGTCCCCAGAAACAAAGAGCGTCATTTGTCACCTACAGTCTCTTTCCCTAAAACCTTCAAACAAGGTCAGAAATCTAGGGGTAATACTGGACTGAGACTTCAATTTTAATAGCCACATCAAATCAGTAACATCCGCAGCATTTTACCATTTAAAAAACATTGCCAGGATCAAAAACATAGTGTCTAAAGCAGACTTGGAGATTCTTATCCATGCATTTGTCTCCAGTAGGTTAGACTACTGCAATGGCCTGCTCACAGGTCTGTCCAAACAGGCTGTAAAACAGCTGCAGTATATTCAAAATGCAGCAGCTCGAGTCCTGACTAGAACCAGGAAGTACGACCACATTAGGCCAGTTCTCAGGTCTCTGCACTGGCTTCATGTGGGTCAGAGAATAGACTTTAAAACAGCTCTGCTTGTGTACAAGTCTCTCCATGGCCTCGCACCAAAATATATTAGTGACATATTAGTACCATATGAACCAGCCCGGACTCTGAGGAGCACAGGGACTGGACTCCTGTTAGTGCCCAGAGTCAGGGCTAAACATGGGGAGGCTGTATTTCAGATTCATGCTGCTAAAAGTAAATATCCAGTTGTACTGTTCTTTTAAGCCTTCTGAGATGGGAAGGCTGAACTCTTTAGTCAACTGTTTGAAAAATATAAAACTATGGTTAAGTAAAAATTCTCTGCAGCTTAATGCTGATAAAACAGAAACCCTTGTGATTGCTCCTGATGACCTTATCCCAGGGATAAACCAGTATTTGGGAGATCTCAGTCAGTCCGCTGCACAGAGTCTCAGGAACCTTGGTGTGATTTTTGACAAAAACATGTCATTAGATTACCACTCTAAACAGCTTAGTAGAAATTGTTTCTTTCAGTTGAGGAACATCTCTAAACTGAGGAAAATTGTGTCACGTAATGATTTGGAGCTCATTATTCATGCTTTTGTGTCGTCACGTTTAGACTATTGCAACAGTTTATTTTCGTGTCTAAACAAAAAAGAGCTGTCTCGTCTCCAAATGGTTCAAAACTCTGCAGCGAGGATTTTAACTTGCACTATTAGAAGGGCTCATATTACCCCAATTCTTAAAGCCCTGTGTTTTTAATTATTGCTTGTTTTTGATGTGAAGCACTTTGTGACCTTCTGTCTGAGAAAGGTGCTATATAAATAAACTTTGCTTGCTTGCTTGCTAAAATCTGGAACAATCTTCCTGAAGATGTGAGACAGGCCTCCTCTCTGACAATGTTTAAAACCAGATTACAAACAGTTCTGTTTAGCTGTGCATACAACTGAGGGATTTTATATTTTTATCTTTCTTTTTAATGTACTGTGATTATTTATGATTTTAATGCTTTCTTATATTGTTCAGCACTTTGAGTTTCCTCGTGTATGAAATTGTGCTTTACAAATAAACTTGCCTTGCCTTACCTATTCTCCTGGGACTTCAACACCCATGTGGGAAATGCCAGTGACACTTTAGAGAGGGGTGATTGGGGAGAACGGCCCCCCTGATCTGAACCCGAGCGGTGTTCAGTTGTTGGACTTCTGTGCCAGTCACAGTTTGTCCATCACGAACACCATGTTCGAGCACAAGGGTGTCCACCAGTGCACGTGGCACCGGGACACCCTAGGCCGGAGGTCGATGATCGACTTTGTTGTTGTATCATCTGACCTTCGACCGCGTGTCTCAGACACTCGGGTGAAGAGAGGGGCAGAGCTGTCAACCGATCACCACCTGGTCGTGAGTTGGATCCGCTGGCAGGGGAAGAAGCCGGTCAGACCTGGCAGACCCAAGCGTATAGTGAGGGTCTGTTGGGAACATCTCGCTGAGCCCCCTGTCAGGCGGACTTTCAACTCACCCCTCCGGGAGAGCTTCTCCCAGGTCCCGGCGGAGGAGGGACCAGTCTGAGTGAACCATGTTCTCTTCCTCTATCGCCGAGGCAGCGGCTCGAAGCTGTGGTTACAAGGTCTCTGTTGCTGGTCCTGGCGGCAAGCCCCGAACCCGGTGGTGGACACCGGCAGTAAGGGATGCCGTCAGGCTGAAGAAGGAGTCCTATTGAGCCATGATCGTTTGTGGGACTCCTGAGGCAGCTGTCCAGTACCGACAGGCCAAGCGTACCGCGGTCCGGGCTGTTGCAGAGGCAAAAACCAGGGACTGGGAAGAGTTCGGACAGTCCATGGAGCATGACAATCGGTCGGCCTCAAAGAGATTCTGGCAAACCGTCCAGCGCCTCAGGAGGGGGAAGCAGTTCTTTGCCAACACCATGTAGCTCTCGATTTATCGGTCAATCTTTGTTCCCAGCTAGCATGAGAATGCCTTGGGGTTCCCCCGGACAAGCTGGATGAAGTTTTTGTGGATAGGCAAGTCTAGGCGTCTCTACTTAGACTGCTACCCCCGCGACCCGGCAACGGATAAAGCGGGAGAAAATGGATGGATGGATGGGTAAAAATGTAAATGTAAAAAAAAAGAGGTGTACCCCCTGCAGCTCAACAACTTCCAGGTCATGTGATCTATTGACTCCAAATTAGTCAGGATCATAGTCCTCCATTAGCTGCAGGAGGTACACCTCTTCTTTAAGTATTTTTAATTAATTAAAAATTTTAAACCAAACACTCAATTATAAAATACCAGCATACATGTCTCTGTGTGTTTACCGTACTGTGTGTAGTACGGCTGCACTTAAATGTTGCGGCGAATGTCTGTCGGATATCCAACTTCAAACTAACTTCACCGCTGTGTTTTAAACTCATAATTTTGAGTTTAAAACTCAAAATTATGACTTTCTGTAGGCCTTTTTTTTTTTTTACATGGCGGAAACGGGCTTCCATACAACATAGACAGAGCCTTTGTGCAAACGATTGAAACATGGCTGCCAGCAATTCTCGGTCTGCTCCTTATGTGTTAATTTTTTATTTTATTTTTGTCTGCAAACACGGTCCTCCCTCACTTAAGCAAAGCAAATCAAATGTACAAATAAATTCAGATATTTTGTACTATTTATATTTACTCTAAGTCTTTTTATCACCATATAATGTGACAATAATAAACTAAGCTTTTTATCACTAAAAATAAAAACACTATAGACCAACAACTTGTCCATAAAAATCATAATTTCAGCAGAAACTGACATTAGTCTAGTGCTCAGGTCTCTGCACTGGCTTCCCTCCTTTAAAACAGCTCTGCTTGTGGACAAGTCTCTCCATGGCCTCGCAGAAAAGTAAAACTGTCACATGTTGAACCAACTCAGACTATGAGGAGCACAGGGACTGGTTTGGCAGTTTTGCTGTTCTTTATCTTCCCCTTCACTTTTTGTTTCTCTTTGCAGAACTTATCCTGGATAATTTGTTTAATGTAGCATATAAAGACCTTTGCACTGAATCAGACCCTGATGGGCACAAATTGCGGAAGAGTGTCTCAATGCTGTGTCCCATTGTTGATCTGTCAAAGTTGTTTGCAACTCCTCCTCCCAGGCTCTTCTAGTAAGAACAACTGACCTTGATGTTAATGTGTCAATTCTACTAAACAAAACAGGCATACGCCTTTTCTTCTGCAAATGGACTTACAGCAGATTATCCATAAAGGTTTCGGGGGGACGATTGGGGAATTGCTTTTTGAGAAAATCTTTTGCCTGAAGAAAACGAAAGAAATGGGACTGTACTGTGATTTATTTTAATGCCTTGTGTGATTGTTTCTATCTTGTTTTGTTTCTGCACTTTGAGTTTCCTTGTGTATAAATTGTGCTACACATAAACTTGCCTAGTCTTAAGTCTCTATTGTTGTCACTGTAACAAAAACACACAGACACAAGTAAGTGCATAGGCTTGTATTGTTTTTGGTGATCTCATCATATACAGCATACAGATATTTCCTTTAGGTAATAAATAAGGATTGTCATAACAAGCGGCAGACAGACAACGTGGTTTCAAGTCAGCAGGATTGTGATCTTTTAAAAATAAATAAAATGCTAAGCAGATGGTGTCAATCAAAGGACTTGGAGATGAATCTGAGCCATGAGAAGAGAACAGAAAAGGAGAGAATAATTACATCTGCTGGCAACATTGGAGACAAAGTTCTTAACTCCCAGATATTACAGGATTTGTAGGATTTTCTCATTTTTACAATAAACAAAAAGTGAAATAAATAATATGAAAAAATAAATACATTTTGTGTAATTCTGTAAATAAATCTGCATTTCACTTTCACTTTCTGAAACAATAATGACTACATTTTACATAACATTGTGATTTTCTGAGAACGTCACAAAAATTGAGTTTACATTTATAGACGATCAGAAAGCAATTTGTTGAAAACAGAAAGTCCAGTTACACTTTACTGTAGCCTTCACTAATTAACAGCTAATAAAGTGCTTATCAGTGAACTTTAACCCCAACCCACGGAAGTCAGTGCACAGTGTTGAACATGTAGAATATGGGACTAATATGCGCATAATGAACACCTATTAAGAACTAAACCATAAAATACACAATACTGAGGGATAGATTAAAGTGTGATTGAAAGTTCTTCGGCGACATCAAACCTGGGAGCTCAAGATTTGTCCAAAAAATTGCACAATTAACAGTTTTTCCTGGACTTTAAAAACAAATCAATACAAATCCCTTTAATCTGTTACAGGCAGCAGTCATCATTTTATAGCTACTAATATATTGAAAACTAGCTTTCGTGAGTAGTTTTAGAATCCTTTAGTAATAGGGTTAGTTAGAGATGAAACAATGACTTTTACTTTACTAAATTAAAATGTTATCTTGGTTATTAACTTTACACTACTTGCAACAAAGATGTTTTCCTATGTTGTGCAAACACTGCTTTGAAGGCGACAATCTGTTTTAGTAATAAACAGTAATGTATTTAAAATGTGAATCTTGCTTCATTTAAAAGTGCAGTTAAAATGTAAAGTCGGTAGAGACTTGAATATTGACTGATTACTAAAACAAACGTTAGTCGCAGCCTTTAGGTTAGTGAAGTCAGCTTTACATTCAGCTTAACATTCATAAATGTGAACGTTACATTATAGCCTTTAACATAAAACACATTCGGGTAAGTTTACATAAAGATCTCAATGAAACAACCGTTATTGAATAAGACATATCGGCCTCATGCATCCGCAGAAAGTTCTAGTTCAAGAGTTCACCTGATGATGACATATCTTTATGTGTATCTAACATAAAACAAAACATTTACTTTATCTTAGGTTAAGGTTATTATTCACAACATGTGAAGAATGAGATCAAAACATATGTTCCTATGAATGACCATAAAGCATGCTTAAACTGTTATAGTTTTAACTATAACTATATATAACTATAGCTTAAACTATATTTTTAAATATAGTTTCAACTATTTTTGACGCAGCTTTAGGGTAAATGAGTCATGGAAGCATTAAATCATGTTGTGTCCAGTCTCTGCTACATTAAACATGAAAACCTGCAGCCTGTTTGTTGACAACATTGATTTTCTATTCAAATTCTGGTGGTGCGGCTTATAGACAGGTGCACCCCATTTAGTCTGGAAAATACAGTATATGAAATCCATCTAACTAGTTCTTCGCTCTCTGAACAGTTTGGTTCCATCACTAGTCTTCACTTGTTTGTATTTTTGGCCGTTGTTACTTTAGACCAGGTGAAAAAGAGGGGCACTCTCTCAACCAATCGCATGTTGTGGCCTGATTTGTTCACTACATTTTACTTTTACCACATACACTTAGTGAATCATTCTATTCAGTATCACGATATTTGGTTCCCACAATTACATGAATAAAGTATTGTGATATTGAATTAAATAATTATCACTTTCACTTCAGTATTTTCCCATCTGAGGCTTATGTTCCTCTATTATGTCTCCTTCCGTTCTTGTGAAGACCATAATAAATGTCGAGTCTTATTTTTCTCCATGTTTGTAATGTCTTTGAATGATATTAGGGACATGACTGTATCGCAAAATGTTAAGAATTGCAATAATATTGAATTGTAGCAAAATATGTGGCAAATATCGTAGTACTGATGCTCAACTCGTCCATTGAAACTGAAATAAAGAAACATTAATACAACATACAAGTGGAGAAAAACTAAAAGGGACATAAAGTTTCTTTTAAATAAATAAATGATTTGTTATTTACAATTTTTAAAACTTTAATGCAAAAATATATCTTTGAAGCGAAATATATTTCCTACTTTCATAAACAGATCATATGGGAAACTCATAGTACCATAGGTGGAACTTATTTTCGACTCTTCTCCACTGGGTCTTCTTCGTCTGTTAAGGATGTGAAAGAGCACGTCTTCCCCGGATGGTACTGGTTTAGGCTTGGACTGCCGACAGGTCTGTTTTCTCCTCCAACTGCATTCTTCTTATCAAACTCCAACGTTATCTCCGTCAGCGTCTTCCCTTTTGTTTCCGTCAGTGTCCAACCCAAAAACGCGGCGGCCGCAACGCACACAATCACGAACGGCAAAAGGCAGAAGTTCCCAAAGTAGCTGATGATAAACGGGAATACCATTCCGACTAAAAATAAGCTAACCCACATGAACGACCCTGCGATCATGTAGGCGGCCGGCCGCGCAGCCTGGTCAAAGATCTCTGCCGGTAAAATGCCTGTCACTCCAGCTGGCCCTAAACCAAAACTTAAAATGTACGCAAAAACGCAAGCCATGCTCAGATAGGCCATTCCCGCGACACCCTGACCTTGAAGAACCAACGCTATGGTGAAAACAATGCCCCAACAAGACATCAGGCTGTATCCTCCAATCAGAAGGTAGCGACGGCCAGCTCGCTCGATCAAATAGTTGCTGAGGATGGACGATAAGAATTCAGAAGCTCCAGTGCCGATGGTGGCGTACTGGATGTGCTGCGGGGATATGCCGGCCGCCAGGAAGATGTAGTATGCGTAAAAGTAGATGGAGTCGTTTCCACAGAGCATCATGGCGCTGCTGGCCGCCATGACGGTCCGGAGTTGAGTTTGAAGGTGCGGGTCTTTGAGAAGCGCCCAAGGTGTTTTTGCGGTGGAATTGGATTTGACAGCCGAGGATCTGAGCTGCTCTTTCTCTTGCATCATCTCTTGCATCTCTGCAATGGGAACGTCACCACCGCGGAGTCTCGACAGCGCTCGTTCGCAGGATTGGCGATCACCCTTGTCGATGAGGAGGTACCTAGGGCTTTCAGGGAACCAGGGTAGGGTTAGGACTTGGATAACAGCAGGGATGGCATTACTAGCCAGCAAAAAAGGCCAAAGATTTTTACCACCAAGAATCTCGGTAAGTCCGATTACCTGGCCAAGGAATATTCCGAAGGCAGTGAAAACAGCGGAGGAAAACGCAACAGCTCCTCTTAGATGTACTGGGGCACTTTCACCAAAATACATGGGTTGGACGTTCATGCTTACACCTGCATTCAACCCAACAAAGACTCGGGCAAGGATTATCATCTCGAACGATCCAGCACTTTGACATGTCAGCACCAGGACAGTAGCGACAAGAATAAAAGCATTGTTGAGAAGTAATGATTTCTTCCTTCCGAACTGCACAGCCATGGGTCCAGCAAGCAAGGCACCAAACAGTCCGCCCAGGGGGAAAGCAGATACAATAAAGGTCCACATTAACGTCACCTGCGGGGTGTCCAAGCCAACACCCCATCGTTCCATGTAGGTGTCATTGATAAAGGTCTGGATGTAGCTGGTGGGAGCGTTGATGATTGAGATGTTGTAGCCATACTGGAAGGTTCCTCCAATCGCAGCAGAACAAACTGTCAGAACAAGAGTGGCTGTCCAGGAGCTTCTATTGGGCTCTTCATCTTCTGGGAGCTTGTCTGTGTTAGACAACATCTGGGAGACCTCTGGTTGGCACAATAGCGTCACCCAAAAGCTTCTGTATAAGTTCTGCAACAAGATCCACTCAGTCCAAAAATAATGTACAAACAGAAGAAGAAAACAGGTGCGTTTGGAGCTCCTCTATGGATGCTGACCTCAAAGAAAGCGCTTATTCTTCTTCTTCTTTGGGTTTTACGGCAGTTGGCAACCAATTAATAGAGCATTACCACCACCACCTGTTACGGAGAGGGTCAGACAATAAGCTCACAACCTAAAGCCCAAACCATAGACGAATTTGGATAGTCTGTGTGCAAATTCTGAGAGCACGACTATCTGGCCCGTTCACTCACAGTGCGTGTACATAAACCCTCAGTTTAGTCTGCAAGGCAACCAACCATAAACCCCCTGTTTAGTTTGTAAGTTACATATAAGTTACACTCTCATTTTAGTCTGTAAACCAAACTTCGTTTTTATTTCCATAAAGGCACAGTACTCTTATAGGGACGAAATCACGCAATAATACAAAAACATATTTGTGCAGTAGAAATAGAATACTAAATACAAATAGTTAGAATGCACATTGCCTCAGTGAAATGTTTTCTAGCAGAAGCAGATAACATATTCATTTGAAGGATAAAGTTATAGAAGAGAATAACAATACTTTATATAAAACATTTTGGTTCACAAGTTCTCACATGCAGGATTATTTTGCCTAATGTGTTTTTAATGCTCTTCTTGTGGGATAAAGTTACCGCATCGTTAAATTCATAGACAGTAAATATCAGGTTAAATCACATCCACCGCTCAACAGTGAAGGTTCGCCTTACAGCCACGTCCCAGGGAATATTTATCATGTCTTTTTGAGGCGCATGCGTGGCTCACGGCATAGACTGTAATGTAGTGGGACGAACGTAACATCGTTTTCTTTTTTTTCTTTTAGATCCATATGACTTAGGGCAGTGTTTTTCAACCACTGTGCCGCGGCACACTAGTGTGCCGTATGATATTGTCTGGTGTGCCGTGAGAAATTCGTCTTCTTTGTCTAAAAATAACTGCATTCGCTGTTGACGAGCGGTGACTTGTTTTGAACTGTGGAGTAACCATGTAATACTTTTTCAAATCAGTAGATGGCAGCAGATAGCTAAGTACTTTGAAACTGAAAAATTGGATGCGACCACTGGCTGTAACAGGTCAGCATTGTGGCGAGAAAGGTAAAATTGGATGCGACCAACAAATGTGGGAGGGAGCGAGACAAGAGCTTTGTGGCGAGTGAGAAGTGAAAGTGATAGAGACGTTTTTGAAAATGAATTATGCCGTTTCTGAACAGGATTAACATCCTCCGCTCTGCCCCGGGGCAGCTGTGGCCGCGTTGTAGTGGTTTAACTATGAAATGTACAATTTTTGTACAACAGCTCTCGCGAACGCACTTCTGAACTGGGTAGCTGTTAGTTTACACTAACAGCTAAGTGATGATTTGGAAAGAAAATAAGTTGACATTTGTTGAGCAAAAGTATTGGCAGATGGCAATTTAATGGTACATTGCGGAAATGAGGAACAACTTGATAAATCCTTGAGCATGAAAGAGCTGGGAAAGTTTAAAGTGGTTGTCACAGGTCAAGTGGGTGCACAGACAGCAGGCGGTAGTAAAGGAGTAATAACTGGGCTTCCTGTTAGTGTCAAGACAGATGACTTAAAGAAGAAGAACATGACAGAGGGCACAGTCACAAACATGAGCAGATTCAAAGCTACAAAAGAATAGATGTGCTCGGTGAGGTGGGGGGCATGAGTATGGAAAGTGTGGAGTAAGAGTAGGGTACAGCCTGGTCTGCTTGGAGTTTCAGGACTAACAAGGGAAAAATTGGGGGACAGTCGAGTCGGGGATCATGATGGTTTTACTTCTTCAATGGAATGCAAGAAGTTTACTGGCCAATAGTCAGGAGTTAAAACATTCTATTAAAGGACTTGACGATTGGCCTGATGTTATCTGTGTGCAGGAGACTTGGCTTAAGCCATCTTTTGATTTTTTGATATATGGCTATTCAGTGATTAGAGGTGATTGAGAACATGGAGATGGAGGAGGCTGTTCCACATTTATTAGAAGCGATAGACAGTCCATACAGGGTGCTTTGAGCAGGTGGCAATTTGGAGTGTATAGTGGTTGAAGTGTGGAATGGAGGGGAATCAACTGTGATCATAAACTTTCATAATACTCAGTTTAGATCTTTAGATCTTCAGAGTCTACTTGGCATTCAGGGACAAGACCGGCAGAGAGGTATTTGGTGTGGTGTGGCCTTGTTGGGCTTTAGATTGTGAACTTATTGTCTGACCCACTCCGTAACAGAAGGTGGCGGTAAAGTTCATTACATGGTTGCCAACCGCCGTAAAACCCAAAGAAGAAGAAGCTGTCCGTGGAACGGTGACATGGATCTATAATAATAACGGGGACGGTGAATACAATGTAAGTACAGGTTAATGAGCCTCTGTTTGAGGCGTGTTTAAATGCACGTTATAGAAATCGTTATGTTATGTTTGTACTAAAGAATGTGGCGATAGCAGCATCAGCATCATTAGCAAGTATCTCCTGCTCCTGTCATCTGTCATCATGAAGGGTCTGAAGTGTAATTATGAATACAGTATTAATGTGCTACAAGAACAATACCGTATATTAAGATTAAAGTGATTCTCTAAATCTGCAGAGATACACCAGTTCTGAAAGGCAGAATCTCAATATTGTGTTATGAAAAATAATTAACACATTAAACAGCACATTAAACTAACGATAATGACATCGATCAACGTGTTTTTTGCAATAATCAGATTCATTCAAATTATTACTTTCTTATTTAACTGTTCACAACATTTTTAGATTAATGGTATAATTCAAAAAGATATTGCTGTCATTTGGTTGGTTTTACTCAATTAAATTAACACATGCACTAAGGGGCACATTTATCAAGGGCTTGTATGTGCACTTATTATCATTCACAACACACAGGCTGAGGGAATTCCATTTAAATTTGACCTTAGCAAAGGCAACCTGCTGAAATGAGCACTTGTATTACCAATAAAACATTTAATTACCCCATTCTTCTCACACCTAGGGCGCTTTCACCCACAAAAAGAAAGGAAGAGGACATGAGTAAAACCAGGTCAAAGGAAAAGTCTGGGTCTGCCAAAGAGGGAGGAGACAAGAAGGATCGCACCCGAGACCAGACTCGCTCACGCAGAGGTGCATCCAGCGGCAGCAGTAGGTGAGGAAATGAGCTGATGTAATGAACTGTGATGTAATTATGAACTGTGCTGATGTCATGTGATGATTCTGTTTGCATCCCCATATCAACAACCTGAAAAGCACAATATTTGATTCCTGGGATATGAGGTGAACGTAATACTGCATAATTTTGTGGACTGTCTGTGTCGCCTCTATGATATATATCTGGAGTATGGCTGTAGTTATATTGAGCCAGCAGGTGGCAGCAGCGCTCTTTGGATGTCTAGTCAAACCTTTATGGTGCAGGCAGAGAGACCCACAGAGAGGCAAGGAGGAAAGCTGACAGGAACTAAACAGGAACTAGTGGAGATCCACATGATCTCTGTCAGCTCTAGTAAAGGTGTCTCTAAAGCTGACAGAGATCATGTGGAGGGTCACGGCATCAGACCAGCACTGCACCCCAAAAAAGTCACAGAAACGTGGACTATCGCTAATATTATCCCTGAGCCTGCACCAGGAGACAGAGGAAATTTTTGATAGCCGTCACAGAGCTCCTCACTGTGAGTCAGACCTCCTCACTGTGGTCAGACCTCCTCAACGTGGGTCAGACCTCCTCACTGTGGGTCAGACCTCCTCAATGTGGGTCAGACCTCCTCACACTGTGGGTCAGACCTCCTCACACTGTGGGTCAGACCTCCTCACTGTGCGTCAGACCTCTTCACTGTGTGTCAGACGTCCTCACACTGTGGGTCAGACCTCCTCACTGTGGGTCAGACCTCCTCACACTGTGGGTCAGACCTCCTCACACTGTGGGTCAGACCTCCTCACACTGTGGGTCAGACCTCTTCACTGTGGGTCAGACGTCCTCACTGTGGGTCAGACCTCCTCACACTGTGGGTCAGACCTCCTCACACTGTGGGTCAGACCTCCTCACACTGTGGGTCAGACCTCTTCACTGTGGGTCAGACGTCCTCACTGTGTGTCAGACGTCCTCACTGTGGGTCAGACCTCCTCACACTGTGGGTCAGACCTCCTCACACTGTGGGTCAGACCTCCTCACTGTGGGTCAGACCTCTTCACTGTGTGTCAGACGTCCTCACACTGTGGGTCAGACCTCCTCACTGTGGGTCAGACCTCCTCACACTGTGGGTCAGACCTCCTCACACTGTGGGTCAGACCTCCTCACACTGTGGGTCAGACCTCTTCACTGTGGGTCAGACCTCCTCACACTGTGGGTCAGACCTCTTCACTGTGGGTCAGACCTCCTCACTGTGGGTCAGACCTCCTCAACGTGGGTCAGACCTCCTCAACGTGGGTCAGACCTCCTCACTGTGGTCAGACCTCCTCAACGTGGGTCAGACCTCCTCAACGTGGGTCAGACCTCCTCACTGTGGGTCAGATCTCCTCACTGTGGAGTGATATCAAGTAGACGCATGTGCACAGCTGATCTCTGATAAGGCTTTGGGCTAACTTTCTGTAGCTCCTCCTCGACACGAGAAAAGAATAATGCGACACAAAACAGAACATAAGTAAAATGAAGCTAAATGAAGATATGAAGAAAATTAATACATTCAGATAGAAAATAGCAAAGATTTATTATTACTTTGGCACACAACTGCAATAATAAGACAATATATCTTTAAAATCTTAAAAATTGAATGAACAAGGAAATAGATAAATGTATTTACACATAAACAGATGAACCTTTTGGTGACGCACACACACTGTTCATAAACATAGAATAAGCTTTTTTTAGTTTTAATAAGCTTTGATAACATTTGTTCTGTCCAAGCCAGTGTTTCTCTAGCACATACAACTTTAAAGTCAAATATGAGTTTAATCTCGTAGCTTCAGCAAAAAAAAAAAAAAATGGTTCAGCCTTATGCTCCGTGGTACGTAACACCTGCTGACGTTAATGGTAGCTAGTTTCCTGTTGTTAATGTTAGTTAGTTCTGTTGACGTCCTGTGTATTCTGCATATCCTGTGTACTGTCTCCTGTATCACATATCCGTAATGTTGCATTTCTATGGCTCTTTATAACTGTGGTGTATGAACTGTTTAACCTGTGTAATCTAATCTGTGTAATGATGGCCGTGTCCTTCTGTGTTGCAGCTCCAGTTCCAGCTCCTCTTCTGGCTCCTCTTCCTCTGGCTCCAGTCACACAGGCTCCTCCTCTTCAGACTCATCTTCGTCCTCCTCTTTATCGTCCTCCCCCAGCACCAGCCGCCAGCGCCACAACAGACGCCGCTCACGCTCCATGTGTGTGTTCATACAGCCTATGGTTCATTCTCATACACTCTACACTTTATTTGCTTAGGTCTCAGATTACACCTTTGACAATTCGCCATCATCAGATTTGGAAATCAAACAATTAGAACGCGAGAAATAATAGGGTTTGGCAAAAATGTTGTGATTCAGACAGTATTGTGATTGGATTTCGTGATATATTGTGTTTCAGGTCCCTCATATTATTCAAAGACTTTATCAACATAGAGGAAATTAAGACTTTAATTATGGTCTGCTCATGAACTGAAGCAAACACTGAAGAGCGTAGTGCAAAAACGTTATCCTTGAACAATCAGGACACAGGACCTTATTACAGACAAGACATCACCCCCTCCCTGACCCTGCCCCCCTCTGACAGCCACATTGGGCCGGCAGTCGGAGGTGCTCACCCCGAGAAAAAAATCCGTGGTTTATACAAAGCACAATCCAATTGTCTGTGAAACTGTATATTATTGCTCTCTGCTGTTTCTTGCTTGCACACAGCGCCGCAAATGGCGAAGTGGCACGCTCTCTGCCAAAACAATTTCCAAGTGGTAACTTTTGTTTGTTACTTACGTGGCAATAAAAATGATTTTGATTCTGATTCTGATCATAGAGTCATAACAAGCAGACATAGTCACACAAACCTCAAATGGAAATGACCAGAAGAAACACTAAAGTCAAACAGATCATTATTTTAATCTCTCATTGACTGCCATTGACAAATATTTGTTTTATAACTATTTCCCCCCTTCTATTTCCCCTCTATCATATACAGTGGGGCATAAAAGTTCTCCTACTTAAAACGATGAGGGAGGCCTGTATATATTGTTCATAGGTGTACCTCAACTATGAAAGACAGAATGAGTATTAAAATCCAGAAACATACATTGTCTGACTTTTAAATAATTTAGTTTAAAAATTAAGGTAAATATTTGGTCAATAAAAAAAGTTTATCTCAATACTTTGTTATGTACCCTTTGTTGGCAATGACAGAGCTCAAATGTTTTCTGTAAGTCTTCACAAGGTTTTCATACACTGTTGCTGGTATTTTTGCCCATTCCTCCATGCAGATCTCCGCTAGAGCAGTGATGTTTTGGGTCTGTCGCTGGGCAACACAGACTTTCAACTCCCTCCAAAGATTTTCTATAGTGTTGAGATCTGGAGACTGACAAGGCCACTCCAGGACCTTGAAATGCTTCTTACAAAGCCACTTCTTTGTACCTTCGTATGTATTGCAGATTCAGTCTTCCCAGCCTGGTGCAGGGCTACAATTTTGTTTCTGGTGTCCATTGGCAGCTCTTTGGTCTTGGCCATAGTGGAGTTTGGAGTGTGACTGTTTGAGGTTGTGGACAGGTGATAACGAGTTCAAACAGGTGCCATTAATACAAGTAACGAGTGGTGGCCTTCCTTTTTGTGTGGGAGGACTTGCACAATTGGGCGCTGACTAAATACTATTTGGTATTGTAGAGGACGCCCCAGATATAATTTTGTTATTCTGTGACTTAATGTTATTGACATTATTATAGCGCCACCTAATGAATGAATACTAGCCATTCTTTCTAGCATAGTTTGTCTAGCATGTAAATGTTGACTTTTTAAAATATTCAGCAACACTTTATGGATGTGGGTGTATGTGACATAAAATGTATTATTTAGCATCAAAAACTCTTTCTCATGAGTTGTTGTTGCTGTTTTTTAGCATGCAAGATACTGGACAAGTATGAGGAGACACTAAAGTTAAACTAAATAGTGTTACCATCACTTTTCTGTATGGTGCATCTGGTTTCACAAACACATCATTTTCTCAGCTTTTTGTCTGAGACTGATGATTTCTGTCAAACTTCCCTCTAATTGTCTGAGGATTACAGGAGAAAAAAAAGTTATTTTTGTTGTGGATGAAAGTAGACAGTCCAGTTTTTCAGAATTCATGTTTCACATAGTCATGGCACACAATATTCCGTGGGTCTTGAAAATCAGTGAAATCATCAAAAACGGCTGGCAGTCATTGAGTTAAAGATAGCAAGTCATAGTGTGTTGATAATAAATGCATTTCTGACTGTGGCCTCAGGTCAAAATCTACAAAGAAAGAAGAGGGAGATCGGCGACGGCGAAGCCCCACCCCCAAACCCACTAAACTGTCCCTGGGCCGCCTCACCAGGAACGTGGTGAAGGTACCTCCACACAGACACACCTGTACCCCACCCCTTCTATCTCCTTCTCTTGACTTGCACATCCAAGAGATCTTCTCTCCCCCCTCCCTCTCTCTTCCTCCATCTCTCCCTCATTCTCTCCCCCTCTTTCCCTCTCTCCCTATCACCCCTTCTTCATCTCTCTCCCTCTCCCTCTCCCCCTCAGTGATGTGTCTCTTGTGTTCTTAATCAGGGGCATATTCAGGAGATCTTCTCCACTTATGGTGAAATCAAACACATAGAGATGCCCATGAACCGTTTACAGCCACATCTGTCCAAAGGCTACGCTTATGTGGAGTTCCAGAGTCCTTACGAGGCCGAGAAGGCCCTTAAGCACATGGACGGAGGTAACGCACACACTCACACACTCACACAGACACACACACACACACACACACAAGTATGGGGATGTTTTAGCCCTAAACCAGAACTGACCATGTGCTGACATCTCCATAGTCCACGTGAATGTGTGACCAGAGGGGGGAATGTGAGATTTCATGACACTTTTAAGCAACTTTTGTTAAAGTTAAACTCATCATTCTACCAATGTGCAGAAGCCTGTACTTTTACACTTCATGTTTTGACTATCTCTGTTGGCACTGTGGCAGCTGCTGATTGGAGGTCTCCATGCCTCCGCTCTGTATAATACACTTGCATTCTGTTGTTCGTGTTGTTCGTGCTGTCTCTACCATCGACAATAAAACATGTCTTCTGTCTGAATTAAAGACGCGATCCCAGACTTTTTCATCTTCTTCACAACCAACAGCCTATCAGGAGTTGTGCCTGTCAATCCCAGCTCACACTTCTCACTAGCTATAGTCAAGTCTCATATCTGGATTTACAAAACCACAATGGTGAATGTGACACAAATGGTTTCCTGAGCTAGAGGAGATTTCTTTTCAATGTCAATAGGAGCCAGAGTAAGTTGGAGCAAAATTTGTATGATGTGCTAACATCACAGTCAAAGAAAGGAGAGCCCTAAAACACTTTGCAGAAAGTGTTCCTTTCTGCAAAGAGGACAGTGAGGTGTACTTTTAAACCTTGTATTATTTATGTACTTATCTGGGGACTTTTTTGGGGAACGCATCCTCAAACACCTGAGACCCCATCACCCACATCCTCAAACACCTCCAATGCCTGCCTGTCCTATACCGCTTACAATATAAGGTCCTCCTCATCACCTATAAGTCCCTTCATAACCTGCCCCCTGAGGGCCGAGCCTTCTGAACCCTGAGGACCTTCTGAACCCTGACAGCCTCTGTTATTCGCAGGTCAAATCGACGGACAGGAGATCACAGTGACAGCTGTCCTCACCCCCATTGTCCGACCGCCCCCCCGCAGACTCCCCCCTCCCCCACCCATGTGGAGACGCTCCCCACCCCGCATTAGGCGCAGGTACAAACTACACATAACACACTTCTTGTTTTTGTTGTTATTGTCCGGCTGTATTCGAGGGAATATAATGAGTTCTAGACTTTTGTTGAAAGTACAGTGTGTGTGTGTATAGAATATACTGTAAATAGATATAAATAGATACGTTATTGATCCCTGTCGGAGAAATTCTGGTGTTCAGTAGCAGCAGAAATGCATCCATCCATCCATACAAACTAAAAAAATAGATATTTTTTTAAAAATAGTATTAAAATGCAACAGCACATGACCACAGAAGCTGAGGTGGTGCAGCCATAAATAACTTTAATAAACACAGCTGCTGATAAAACAAACAATATAATATAGTATAGAGAAAGCTATACTAATACACTATAAATATATATATCATATTATAATTTATATATGATTATTAATATAATCATATTAAATGGAAAAACTGTATCTCCATGTTTCCGTATATCCATGGTTCTGTCTCTAAGTCCATGGTTCTTGTTCTCGTTTAGGTCTCCTCGTCGTCGTTCCCCGATCCGCCGTGGCTCTCGCTCTCTCGGTCGCAGACGTCACCGCTCACGATCCAGCTCCAACTCTTCACGTTAACGTTTCATCTTTTAACCTTTAACCTCTTCATCTCTCAAAATGAAGTCTTGTGTGTCAGCGGTTACTCTCAGTCTTAGTTGTGTGTCAGAGGTTACTCCTGTGTGTCAAATGTGATGCATTATTTGTGGTCCCTCTGAACCCAAACTTGATCCTGAGACTCTTTTCTTTGACATTTCCTGTTTCGCATTCTGCCGTTCACAGGCAGGGAGTAATTACAGTATAAATACTCAAGTAAAAGTATTTTTCCTAGTGTTTTTCAGAGAATAGCAAGAGCTCTGGTGCACACTGGGGTCCTCTCGCCGTTATTCCAGAGTGGCAAATAAGCCCTTAAATTGAAATAGTTATCTTTACTTACCTCTACTTATGACTCGTATTACAAAACTGGGTTAATCAGCAAGTTCAGCATTCCTTTTGTTTATCTCGGTAAAAACACAACAGTAAAACTAGGGATGAGTTGACATGATTATAGGCTTTACCTATATTATTAGTGCCAACTCTGGCCATTTAGATATTTATATATTATAATTATAATAATAGAAATGATGCCTCCAGAAGACTTTACACTGATGAAGCATTGGAGAAAAGACTAGCATTAACCCGCAATAGCAGCATCATACTATGTTTTAAGCAAGGTATTTTTCTATGAAGAGGTTAAAGATACAGGGCACCCCTGTTAAACATTTAGAAGTTTGGATGAACTGAAGATTGGTTGCTCTCATGTTAAAAGTGTTTTAATAATATAAGTGTATTCACTTGACCTGTAAATAGTCTCCATTCCCTTGAGTGACCTTTTTGTGTATTTGTTTACAACATTTGTGTTTTCATGATGACTCCTGCCTGTAATAACGTTGTCAATCATTGTACAGTAAACATCAATGAAACCTTTTTCCCTTTTGCATAAAACACTCATTCAATCTCAAACAATTACATAAAAAGATTTATTGTCATAAACGTCTTAAATACAATATTTACACAGACTTTAGTTTTTGTCCACGTTGGATTTTGTGCCATATATAAAGATTCTAGGACTTTGAATTGTTTGATGTTGGATCAGAAGGAGGATCTATGAGGTCTCGGAATCCTAGCTTCTCCAGAGGCTCCACTGCCATCAGCTGACTGAAAAAACAACAACATTATGGATACAAACCAATGTATTAGTTCATCTTTATTGAAGGGACACAGCACATCGACAGATATGTCCTGCACCAGATCATAGAGGCTAGTTTCCAAAACATCAGGAAATTGGAATATTTTAAATAATTAAATAATAACAATAATAATTAATAACACTCTAAACTATTGCACATGTTATGAGTGGTAGGGGACACCAAACATCAAAACAAAAGCTTTAAATTGCAGAAATAAACTTTTTAACAATATTCTCATTGTTTTATCTGTTATTTCTACATAAGTAAATTAATTGTTTCTATTATGTGTCAGTGTCCTTACTGCGACATCCTGCACTCCAGATAGTCCTTGGACTGCAGTCTGCACCTGGAGTTATCAAAGCTGTTCTCGCTCAGACACTTCATAAACTTCTCCTTGAACGCTTTGCATTCACCTGAAATCAGTATTTCACGTTTCACAAATGACAAGAATTTGATAATTGTCTCATCAAATCTATCTTCCTAAATCTACATTATCTTAAATATAAATCCATAGTACAACGTACTTTTAAACCTTAATATTTTTGAATGGAATCCTGATTAATGGATCAAATCAAACACCACCAACTTACGAGCCTGTGTTTATTACCATGAATGTTACGTTATAGCTCAGTTTCCTGTTGCGTTTACTAAACAAAATTATGAGGCTTAACTCTAATTAACTTGATCTTCTCCAGTTTAGTTACAGCATTAGTCTTTTTATTGGAATTCTCAGGTGACACAACCGCTAATGACAGTTTCCCACAGGATAAAGGAGCTCATATCGTACACAGACATGATCCTCACTTATATACATCTCATACTTATATCTAAACTAGAATCTAATACTGGACTGAAAGGACATCCTCTTCCAAGTCTTTCTTGCCTTCAGTGTGTTCTCGTGTGTTCTCTATGGTTCTCACCAAAATGGTCCAAAGGGAAAGAGCCTTTATCCGGAGCTCGGGGTCTGAAGCTTTTTGTGCCGAAGTTCATCGCAGACATGATTCCTGAAGTAAACGTATATTTCGTGTTTTTGACTGTATGTTCTGCTGTATTTGTGACCTGCGTTTACGAGCTGCGAGGGGTCGCGGAATGATGACGCAATGTTTTGGTCGATCAGACCTAAGCAGTAGTTGACAAAAGGCGATAGATTAATAATAATAATAATCAATCACAGATAAATATTTATTATGGGGTAATTAACAATCGTGTTCCATGTATTTGTTATTGTAATACAAAGCTATAGGTTATTATTGTATTTTAGTAGTTCATGTAGTTGTTGTAAGCCTTTGTTGCAACATTCATGTGAAGTCTCTTCACTTTATGTTTTAATCTAGACTTAGAGTTTGTAATGAAGGTGAATTGAACTTGAAAGAGCTGTGGGTTTGGTTTGATAATACTTCTTATAGAACAAAGAGAGAGTGAATTTGAAGATCTAACGCTATCCACTCAGCCACGTCTCGCTTCTCAGAAAGAAGGTCCAGGGTTCAAATCCCAGTCGGATCAATCAATCAATCCATTTTATTTATAGAGCCCTTTAAAACACTCAAGGCGACCAAAGTGCTTCACAATAAAATTCCACAATAAAATTCCATAGGGGTCTTTCTGACTGGAGTTTGCATGTTCTCCCTGGGTCTGCATAGGTTTTCTCTGGGTGCTCCGGTTTCCCCTACCACTAAAATATGCGCAATAGTTCAGGGAGAATGAGTGTGTGTTTGTGAGTGCGACTGTCCCAGCCAAATGAACAAAACCAAATTGATCTAAAACTGGGAAAGAGGCCAACACAAATTCATGAACATACAAATCTATTAATTTGCCATGTGCTCAGTCTATAGTTCTTTAAATGTAGTTCCACTAAACCCCAAAGTCTCCACACCCAACATTGTCTATTGTAAAAGAACACGTGTATTGCCCTTTATAGATAAGATAGGATTGGGAAAGGCACAACTATAAAAGTATTAACAACTCAATACACAATACAACAATAACATCCATGTAACTAGTTCCAGGCTCTATTTTCGATTCTAACCCTCTGTCACATCTTCAAATCAGCTTGATAAAGAGAGGACCACGCTCAAACTGTCAAACTGACTCGCTTTTTTACTATAATTTAAGAGTGTCTTTCTGTTGAGACGATATGTATTTTGGGGGGACTCCAGCCTTCATAACTGCCAGCTGTCTTTAATCCAACACGACATATTTATACCAATCGTCCAGCATTAATAATACACGTGGGAACTTATGAAACATTGAACGAATGCCACACTGCACTACCTCCAGTGGCCCCTAGATGTCGCCATTTACCCCCTTATCTCCCTTCTCCATCCAGCCTCACTATGCACTAATTATTATGCTGTCAGCGCTGGGAGTCCTCACACAGCTCTTTTTGCCCGTGTCTGGAGCCCTCTCCTCCCGCCTGGATCCCTCTCGCCCCGCCTAGAGCCAGAGCCTTCTCCCCCTCCTGCAGCCCTCTCCCCCCGCCTAGGGCCCTCTCCTCCCGGTAGGTGACAGGCAGGTGTCCGCTGCCTAGATCTGGCATTGAGCGTCTGATTCTGGGTCCTGATCATTGTCCCTGTCGGTGGATGGAGCGGGCGTGTGCTCGGTGCTGAGGCTGAGAGAGACCGGGGCTGCCTGGAACATTACCCGCAGACCATGGAGGGAGAAGCCGAAGCGAACAACAACCACAAGCAGCAGCTGCATGACGTGCAGAGCCGCCCTGGGAACCAGAGCTGCGCTGACTGCGGGAACCCAGGTACAAAGCAAATAATGCTTTTGTTTTTATCTCTTTATTATGACATAAATGGTGACATTATTTCTTCTAGCGATGGATTTCATCAAGGTGTTTGATGACACATTAAAATCGAACTTGTAGTAATGAATAAAGTGCTATAGAAGATGCGAAATTATTGAAGAAGATGGAAAAATCTTGCTTTGTCCTACAGTGGGGAAATCCCAGTGTTGTAATACATAGTTCTAAACGAGGAATACAGGAAAAAAGCTCTATCCGGCTATTAGAGTGTTAAACATGTACATACATCTGTAGTAGTAGTGTTAATAGTAGTAGTAGTAGCAGCAGTAGCAGTTGTAGTAGTGGTGGTGGTGGTAGTAGTAGTTGTAGTAACAGTAGCAGTAGTAGTAGTAATGTTAGTTGTAGTAGTTGTGGTAGTAGAAGACATTTCAATCATGTCTGGATTGGAATCCTTTCTATCAGGCTTCAAATAAACAAATGCAAAAACAAAATCCACATATTGAACTGACCTTTTTAGCCTCGAAATGGTGCATTATTTGCTCATACTCATCAGTGACTCTATCTTGGCCTAAAATACTATTTATGTAAATGATTGTATTTCTGTGAATGATTGTATTTCCTTTGCTGTTTGATCAATGATAATATCAGTTGCTAATAAAATGATGTTTATTGTGGTTACATGCACAATACATTATATCAAAACCATGGGCTATAACAATATCCCAGATACCAAATAACCAGGAATGAGAAGTAGATATGTATTCTAAGAATAGTCTTCTAGATCAGTCTTAGCATTTGCCCTTTGGACTGAGTGTGTGCCATAAAGCTGTGAAGGAGAATGAGCCACGTGTGCTTGTGTTGTGGTCTCTATGTGGTCTCTATGTGGTCTCTATGTGGTCTCTATGTGGTCTCTATGTGGTCTCTTCGTGGTCTCTTTGTGGTCTCTATGTGGTCTCTATGTGGTCTCTATGTGGTCTCTTTGTGGTCTCTATGTGGTCTCTATGTGGTCTCTTTGTGGTCTCTATGTGGTCTCTATGTGGTCTCTATGTGGTCTCTTTGTGGTCTCTTTGTGGTCTCTTTGTGGTCTCTTTGTGGTCTCTTTGTGGTCTCTATGTGGTTGCTATGGTCATTATGTCAGCCTCCATAAAGCAGGCTTCACATCAGATTGGTTTTTCCATCATACACCTGCTGATCTTATGACAGAGTCTGATCTGAGGCAATGGTGCAGCATTCATCTGATTAGAATCAGAGTCAGAATCAGAGTTATGCATAAATGTGGAGTGTCCTGGATCTTCCCTGTCCTTAGACCCACGTGCATCATAGAAACTACTCTAAAACTCAGAAAAGTGAGAAACCTCAGAGATTGTTTGGTCGTTGGGTCTGCTGATCAGACAGTGGCATGTGCTCCTGGTTTCCACTACCACTAAAAACATGTACAATAGGTGAGGGTTGAATGTGTGTGTTTGCGACTGTAAATGAGCAACTATTAGAGCCAAAACAGTTAAAACGCTGATAAAGTTAAAGATATAAAATAGTTTTGGTTAAAAGGTCAATCACACTATGTGTTAAAAAAGGTTGAGACCTTAAAAAGCTAAAGTTAAACGGTTAAAATGATTGAATTTAAATAATGATTCTAAATGTTAAGTTACTGTTTAGTTTTATTTTTGAAGCAGGTAGATCAGCTTTAATATCAGAGACACATATTATTTAGTTCAGGTGTGGGAGCACACAGATTTTCTACCTTCAAACTGTGGAAAGAGACTGTAATATTCATTTTTATTATTATTTTGTTAAATAATTGGATTTAGCCGGATTACGTTTGCCTGGTCTTCAGTGTCAGGAAAGCTTTTGCATCTGGCTCACTGTTTTTAAATGAGCCACTATGCAACAATCAGTGTTACAGTTACTGCTGTTTATGAACACACTGTTCCATAGTAATAAAGAAATACATGCAACGTGAATACAAAGGGAGGGATCCGCTCCCACGGACAGACGGGCTGTAGATCCAGGACTGAGGCTGTAGATCCAGGACTGAGGCTGTAGATCCAGGACTGAGGCTGTAGATCCAGGGCTGAGGTTGTAGATCCAGGACTGAGGCTATAGATCCAGGACAGAGGCTGTAGATCCAGGACTAAGGTTGTAGATCCAGGACTGAGGCTGTAGATCCAGGACTGAGGCTGTAGATCCAGGACTGAGGCTGTAGATCCAGGACTGAGGCTGTAGATCCAGGACTGAGGCTGTAGATCCAGGGCTGAGGCTGTAGATCCAGGACTGAGGCTGTAGATCCAGGACTAAAGGCTGTAGATCCAGGACTAAAGGCTGTAGATCCAGGACTAAAGGCTGTAGATCCAGGACTGAGGCTGTAGATCCAGGGCTGAGGCTGTAGATCCAGGACTGAGGCTGTAGATCCAGGGCTGAGGCTGTAGATCCAGGACTAAGGTTGTAGATCCAGGACTGAGGCTGTAGATCCAGGACTAAAGGCTGTAGATCCAGGACTAAAGGCTGTAGATCCAGGGCTGAGGCTGTAGATCCAGGGCTGAGGCTGTAGATCCAGGACTAAGGTTGTAGATCCAGGACTGAGGCTGTAGATCCAGGACTGAGGCTGTAGATCCAGGGCTGAGGCTGTAGATCCAGGACTGAGGCTGTAGATCCAGGACTAAAGGCTGTAGATCCAGGGCTGAGGCTGTAGATCCAGGACTGAGGCTGTAGATCCAGGACTAAAGGCTGTAGATCCAGGACTGAGGCTGTAGATCCAGGCGTGGAGGAGAGTCAGTGGTGAAATATTGCCTCCGCCTGCTCCACCCAGAATAGTCAGAATAGTCGTAGATCCTTTGTTCTGGACAGACCTGAGGATTCCCTGAGCTCATCTAAGATCACATTATGGACATGAATTATTGATGCATTGTGATTGGCCGTCCCACAGAGAGCACAGGGAACAGCTTCATTAATCATCGAAACACAGTAAACACTTCTGACCTTACATGACTTTGCAGAGATGAGGAGGAGGAAACAGCACTTCAGTTTATCTACAGTTTATAATTGTTTTTATAATCAGTGTTTTGGATTTGGACGTTATGGACTGCTTTAGGTCTGACCATCACTGCAACCGTGGTGTGATTTTCTATTTCCTGTAGTTTAACAAATTAGAGTCTCACACATGAAGCGAGTGTGTGTGTGTGTGTGTGTGTGTGTGTGTGTGTGTGTGTGTGTGTGTGTGTGTGTGTGTGTGTGTGTGTGTGTGCGTGCGTGCGTGTGTGTGTGAAATGTGATTAATGACAATAAATGAATGTCGTACAAAATGTGTTTGTAAATGTCTTTAACCGTTTTAAAGAGTTAGAATGTATCATCTTTGAAATGAGAGATCTCAGGATATTTAATGTAGTGAATGTGGCGCCTGTTGAAATGTTCTTTTTCAACAGTGTTATTTTTACTCTGAACTAAACTTTACATTAAAAACATAATCAGAAATCACTCTGAACTTTGCTCTGTTTATTCTCTGCGCAGTTTGAGAATTACCATCATGATTTGACGTTGACTCAACCTACATCACTCTTCTCCTGTTCTCCTCAGAACCGGACTGGGCCTCCCTCCCTTTGGGGGTGTTCGTATGCCAGGCCTGCTCCCTGCTTCACCGCAGCATCCCCCACATCACCAGAGTGAAGTCTGTCCAGGAGACGTGGGACGACAGTGAGGTAGAGGTGAGAGACACAACAGTCACTGATGATATGGTATGTGGCGTGTTCTGTCCGTGTTCTGTCCCTGTTCTGTCCCTGTTCTGTCCCTGTTCTGTCCCTGTTCTGTTCCTGTTCTTTGCTGTTTCATGCTAAGGTGTTTGTAGCTAACCTCCAGCAGGACCTCCAGCAGGACCTCCAGCAGGTGTTTTGCATCAGTAATCAGTGCTGTCTGTGTCAGACTCAGATTCTTGAAACAAAAGTGTGATTGTATCAGACATACAGTGCTTCTCGATCAGTGTGATCCATGGACAGAGTATAAAGTCTATGATACATCATCACTCAGTGTTAATGGAAGCAGTTCTCATACTCTTAAGATGCTTTATCATAATTATACATAATCGCTGCCTTCAGGAGAAAACATGACCCTCTACATCCATTATATGATATTTATGAAATCAGCTCTTTGTCCCAGACTGTTCCCACGGCAACAAGTCCATCAGGGAGAATTTTGCACTAAAACTTTATTCTGTGCTGAGGCAGTGGTGACGATCAGGAGAGAAGGGAACAGTGTTGGGATCTGGGTCTCTGTGTTTCAGATGATAGTTTCTCTGTGTGTTTCAGATTATGGCGTCAATGGGAAACACTGCGGCCAAAGCAATGTACGAGCAGCAGGTTCCCTCGTTCTACTACAGACCCACGCACAGCGACTGCAAGTGAGTACCTGAGAACCTTCAGAGTACCATCAGAGTACCCTCAGAGTACCTGAGAACCTTCAGAGTACCTTCAGAGTACCCTCAGAGTACCTGAGAACCTTCAGAGTACCTTCAGAGTACCTTCAGAGTACCCTCAGAGTACCTGAGAACCTTCAGAGTACCTTCAGAGTACCCTTAAAGTACTTGAGAACCTTCAGAGTACCTTCAGAGTACCCTCAAAGTACCTGAGTACCCTCAAAGACTACTAACACTCTACAGTCTACATCTGGTCCTGACCATTCGTCACCGTTCGTTCACTGAGGAATGAATTTCTTGTTTTATAACCAACCTGTGTGTCTCAGGGCTGTGTAAGGATCTGACCTTTGACTCGATGGTTCAAGTTTTGTATCAAAACTGCAAGTTCCTGAATAATTCTATCATCTCTAAGATCCACCCATTCATGACAATACCAGCATTCCATTGGTCCTCCTGCTCCCCCTCCTCCTCTTCCTCCTCCTCCTCCCTCACCTGTGTCTGTTTACCGTCAGGTTGCTAAGAGAGCAGTGGATACGAGCCAAATACGAGCGAAACGAGTTTGAGGCGACGGAGAAACAGGAGGCGTACTCTGCAGGTGAGCAGGAGGTGAGCAAGAGGAGAGAAGGAGGAGAGAAGGAGGTGAGCAGAAGATAAACTGGAAGAGAGCAGGAGGAGGAGGCGCAGATGGAGAGTTTAGAGCTGCGTTCCAGAGACAAATGCTGTGATGCTTTAGTTTAAGTTACCATTTGTTAAAAAGCACATTTATTGATTTATCGCCCTAAATCACAACAGTAGTTATCTAGAAGGACTTTACAAATCTTTCGCCAACGTGGATCAGAGAATCAAACGGTTCAAACACAGGAAATGCAATTATAACATATATCTTTCAGAAACATTTTCCCCAAAACAGAACATAGATAATAATCAACAAAGTAGAGCAGCATAAAACTGTCCTGTAGATGTCAGTCTGACCAAAACCAGTCTGACCACACCGGTCCAGTCTACATGCAGGCGCTGAGACTTCAAAGCTAATTTCAAAAGTGTCTCTTCTTGTAAATATAATTTGTTTATGTTGTAACTTTTTCCCTCTTGCTCAGCTCAGTTTCATGCAGTTTCTCCAGAAGATTTTCTTTACAAAGGTCTCACTTGAATTTTCTTCGAGTCGGTGAGGGATCAGGTTTTCTCTAGTTCTCTAGTCTGCAGCAACACAATTGGCATTTGTGATAGTTACCTGTCCACTGGGAAAAAGGGGTTGAAGAAGCATTTACGATATTCAGAATCAGCATCAGTTGATCACTCCTAGATGGAGAGATGAGGCTGTGGAGGAGACGCCAGGTTTACTGTTCAGCCCTCTGCAGATGTCATGGGCCATTCAAGAAACATCAGGAACCACCTGATGACATCAGGATGAGTTGAACCACCTGATGACGCTGAGGTGCAGATTCAGACTGAAAGACCAGCCACGGCCCTCACCCGTCCAGGGCCTGCCAATCGCACAGCGCTGCCAACCTCGAGCCTCTGCCAATCACATAGCCTGGCCAGCCCCTTGTGAACCCACTGACAGCAGAGCTCCTGCTCTGGCTCCAGCTCTGGGTCCTGCTCTGGCTCCAGCTCTGGCTCCAGCTCTGGGTCCTGCTCTGGCTCCAGCTCTGGCTGCGCCCCATTCACACCATGCTTCTAGCCACCACCAGTGCTTGACCCCGGGGGGTCTGAGATCATCTACAGCAGCAGACGATCTCCCCTCTGCAAGTGTCACTGCCGGGGTCAATGCGCCAATCAAATAAATCTTTTTCATGCTTTAATGTTTCTGTCTTGGTCTCTTCAGATTGAAATAACATTGTTACATTGTAACATGAGGTGTTTATAGAAACTAAAGTACGTTCTGTCAAGTATTTAATTGACGACATAAAGATGAGTTTTAAAGCATACAAAGCAAATGGGTTCAAGTGGAGACCTGTGATTGGCCATCGGTGACCTCACCCCTTCTCTGTTACCGTACCTCATGAGTCATGGTACTGAGAGCGTGGGGCAGTGCATACTGGGATATTCGGTCTCTTCATCCACAAAGAAGAAGAGGAGTTTGACCACTGCTTAATGTCTTAGTAGAGCAGTCAGTGCTAAAGCATGGAGGAGGGAGAGGATGAGGAGGTGGGGGGGATGTGGTGGTGGAGGATGCGGAAGAGGAGGAGGGAGAGGATGAGGAGGCAGGGGGGGGGGGGGAAGAAGAAAATAGACTGTCTTTTTCAGTCTATTTTTGTCTATCTCTGTTATTGTAATAACATTGTAATATCGTTGTAATAATATATTATAATAAAGTTGTATTTATATCTATTGTACTATTGTTGTAATATTGTGGTTATACTGTAGTAATATATTGTATGTTGTATTAATATCTTGCAGGATACAGAGAAGGGTTTCTATGGAAACGAGGAAGAGACAACGGTCAGTTCTTCAGCCGCAAGTTCATTCTGTCTGAGAGAGAGGGGGCGCTCAAGTACTTTAACAAACAAGACGTGAGTAGAAGTGGAAGTACTACTGAAGTACTATAGAAGTAGTTGTACTATTGTGTGTGAGTAGAAGTAGTAGTACTATTAGTACTATTGTGTGTGAGTAGAAGTGTTATGTCGTCAAGAGTGCGTTTAAAGCAAAGGAATACAGTGGCCCTCATGTATGAAACTTGTGTACGGCCAAATCAGGGTGTAAATGAAATATTTACACTTTTTCGGCATTTATAAATCTGGACGTGGGCGTGATAACACGCATAAAATTCAAGATTTGGACAACAATAAACATAATTCTCACTCTGGCAAGATTATAGGCACACCTCTCACATTACAAATATGCAATTTTACGAAGTTATGTTAGGGCTAGTTTGTGTTATTAAATAACGTGCAAGATGTCAAACTCAAAAGTTTCCTACAAATGTGTGGATTATATGCACCTACAACCAGTGTGCATCGGCAATTGGTTCATGCGGGTCCAAGCAAAGACGCACGCCAGCGTGGAGCCAGCCCAGGTCTGATCAGAGGAAGATGGCTCTGGGACATACAGGGGCTACGCTCTGGTACCTCCTGGTACAAGTGTGTCATATGATCCTGGCTCGGTTCTCCACAGCAGGCACAGGACCATGGTGTGCCATGATGCACTGGTGGACAGTGATGGGAATAACGGCGTTACTAGTAACGGCGTTACAAACGCCGTTACTTTTTTCAGTAACGAGTAATCTAACTAATTACTTTGACAGTAACTATAACGCCGTTATCATTTCCAACATCCCGTTACTGCGCGTTACTCAAGACGCACAATGAACGTGTTGTCATGAGAGAAGGGAGGATGAGAAAACCTCTCAGCAATTATTGGCTGATGTAAAACATATTTCCTTTACAATCCACATGTCTACAGTTGAGAGGATGGTCATAAATTGTGTTTTTGAAAAAAATATGGGTCTTAGTCGCGCTCATCCACGGCTTGTATCACCGTGAGGTCAGCCACAGAGGAGCACATGTGAGCGCAGAAGGCTGCATACAATTCCATCGATAAGCTCCTTTCTCTTCCTGGTTTATCTGCTAAGGACAGCAACAGGTTTGGCTAACATACATATAACACATTTTTACATAATCTAAAATGCACATAGGGTAATTTTTCAATGACTATAGGAATGATAAGAAAGAGAGGTGAAGTGTAAGACGGTTGGTTTTAGAAATTGGATGCACTCGGCTGCCGCAAAACACAGGAGTTTATGGAGGACACACGCGTTTTGTTTTACTTTTTAAAACTCATTGGACTCATTTCCAAATGGAGGATTACATATCTATGCTCAAACCATTCACTGGATTTAAACAAAGAACTGGTCTGAACCGAAGTGACCTGTGCAGGTCATTTATAAGGTATAGCTATAAGGTAAGACCCATAACTCATAGTTTTGCGTTTTTTATGAACAAACAATGCGGGCATAAAACATATTTTGCTGTAGCCAAACAAATTGTCCACTTGATTTATATGATGTATATGTTCATCTGATTGGACTGAAGTCAGTGCTTCACCGGTGTTTCCACATTCACAGTGGAGCGTGTTGGTGTTTAGTGCTTACAGCACAGACAGAGATGAAGAGTGAACAGGACTTCAGCAGCAAAACAGCCTTTTCTAGATGGAAATATTGGCTCTGTTAAAGGTAAAAATGCGCACGTCGGGTGCACATTATGTTCCAGAACAAAACGAAAAAGTAACGCAATAGTTACTTTTACTGGTAACTAGTTACTTTTATAGCGGAGTAACTCTGTTAGTAACTCAGTTACTTTTTGGGAGAAGTAACTAGTAACTATAACTAATTACTTTTTCAAAGTAACGTGCCCAACACTGCTGGTGGAGCCGCCCATGGAGGAGAGACCATGGCCAGCACCGCCTTCAGCCTGTACAGCTCAGACAGACTCTCAGTCAACCATTTTAAAATAATAATCACATACACAATTTGGAGATTATTTTATTTCTTTATATTTTCTTTTGGATGCTTTGGTCTGGCAGTCCTCCCCCTGGGCTGCTGAGCACTTCTTCTATGAGCTGCTAAACGCCTTTTTGTTACCATTTTAAGGTTGCTCCATTTTTTTTTCACCTGTAGCATAAATGTCTTAATACTAACTATTGGCCCAAGTATATTTCTTCAAACATGAAAAACTCACCTCTTCAGGAGTGTTACAGCCCCCACGCTGTTTACAGATGTCGTCATCTCTTTCCATTATTTATTTTTCGAGCCCCTTGATGCCACTTTTGAGGTTTCCAAATAGTAAGTAAGTTTTTTAATGGCCTCAACTCCTGCTCCGTGAAGTTTTTTTTCTTGGCCGTTTCCTCTCAAACAGGCAGTTGCTGCATATTTCTAGACCTGACTTTCATAAATACGTTCATTTTCAGCCGCCACATTCATCAACAGCCGCTGTGCGTACGCTAAGATCTGAGCGGATCTCACATGTTCATAAATCCTGCGTTGGGTCTTGCATATTTAGAATATACACCAAAATATACACCCTTTTCTGTACAAGTTTCATAAATGAGGGCCAGTGTGTGTATCTCTGTGTGTGTCTGTCTGTTGTGTCTCTATGTGTGTGTATCTGTATGTTGTGTATTTGTGTGTTGTTTGTCTGTCTCATTGTGTGGATCTGTGTGTGTATCTGTGTGTTGTCTATATAAAAGTTGCCTACCAACAACTTACTGAATTTTTAATATCTAATGACTCATTTGACATGTTTCAGTCTGGCTTTAGACCACACCACAGTACTGAGACCGCTCTAGTCAAGGTAACAAATGATATTCGGCTTAACACTGATGCAGGAAAAGTCTCTGTTTTAGTCATGTTAGATCTGAGTGCCGCTTTCGACACCGTTGACCATGAGATTCTCATGCAGAGACTGGAGGACTGGGTTGGTGTTGCTGGTACCGCCCTAAGCTGGTTTAGGTCCTATCTAGAAGAAAGGAAGTATTGTGTGGAGATAGGAGACTATGTCTCAGATAATATGGCCCTGACCTGCGGAGTGCCACAGGGGTCGATTCTGGGACCTCTCCTGTTCAATATTTACATGCTGCCATTAGGTCAGTTAATTCAAAGTATGAAAAGTGTCCTACCACAATTACGCTGATGACACTCAGATCTATGTCTCACTGACTGCAGGAGAGCATGGACCGGTGGACTCACTCCTTCGCTGTATCCAGCGGATCAGTGAGTGGATGCAATGCAATTTTCTCCAGCTAAATGCGGACAAAACCGAAATGATTGTCTTTGGTCCCGAGAAACAAAGAGAGACCGTCATTTGTCACCTTCAGTCTCTCTCCCTAAGGCCTTTAAATAAGGTCAGAAATCTGGGAGTAATAATGGACTCTGACTTAAACTTCAATAGCCACATTGGATCGGTAACATCAGCAGCTTTTTATCATCTGAAAAATATTGCCAAAATTAAAAATATTGTGTCCAGGGCAGACTTGGAGATTCTTATCCATTCTTTTGTTTCCAGTAGGCTGGATTACTGCAATGGCCTGCTCACAGGTATCTCCAAACATGCAGTAAAACAGCTGCAGTATATTCAAAATGCTGCAGCCCGAGTCCTGACTAGAACCAGGAAGTACGACCACATTAGTCCGGTCCTCAGGTCTCTGCACTGGCTTCCCGTGGCCCAGAGGATAGACTTTAAAGCAGCTCTCCTGGTGTACAAGTCTCTCCATGGCCTTGCACCAAAGTACATCCATGATATGCTAGTCCCATATGAACCAGCCCGGACTCTGAGGAGCGCAGGGACGGGACTCCTGTTAGTGCCCAGAGTCAGGACTAGACAGGGGGAGGCTGCTTTTCAGATTTATGCAGCTAAAGTCTGGAACAGTCTTCCTGAGGATGTGAGACTGGCTGCCTCTCTGTCAATGTTCAAATCCATGTTAAAGACTTTTCTTTTTTCCTGTGCATACAACTAGAGAATTTTATCGTTTTAACACACCTTGTTATTTATTGTTGTAACTTTTTGTGTTTTTAACTATTTTATTGTTTTTAATTACTTGTGTGATTCTTATGTTTTTAAATTACTTATGTGATTTTAATGCTTTTTAATTACATATGTGTTTTTAATTGTATTTTAATGGTGATGATTTGTGCATTGTGTGGTGTGGACTGTGAGGCGCTTTGTGTTGCCCTGTGCAGGAAAAGCGCCCTACAAATAAAGATTGATTGATTGATTGATTGATATGTGTGTGCATGTGTTGTGTATATATGTTGTGTGTCTGTTGGTATCTCTATTGTGTGTCTGTTGTGTTGCAGACCAGAGAGCCTGAGGCAGTGATGAAGGTGGAGGCTGTTGTGTGTGTGTGTGTGTGTGTGTGGGTGTGTGTCTCTGTTGTGTATCATTGTGTGTGTGTGTCATTGTGTGTGTTGCGTTCCAGGCCAGAGAGCCTGAGGCAGTGATGAAGGTGGAGGCTGTTGTGTGTGAGTGTGTGTGTGGGTGTGTGTCTCTGTTGTGTATCATTGTGTGTCTGTGTCATTGTGTCTGTTGTGTTGCAGACCAGAGAGCCTGAGGCAGTGATGAAGGTGGAGGCTGTTGTGTGTGAGTGTGTGTGTGTGTGTATGTCTCTGTTGTGTATCATTGTGTGTGTGTGTGTCATTGTGTGTGTTGTGTTGCAGGCCAGAGAGCCTAAAGCAGTGATGAAGGTGGAGACTCTAAACGCCACTTTTCAGCCGGCGAAGATCGGGAATCCCTGTGGTCTGCAGATCACACACCTGAAGGACAACAGCACACGCAACATCTTTGTGTATCACAGTGAGGCCAAGGTGACCCACACACAGATATACACACACATACACACACACAGATCTACACAGATCTTTAGGCAAATAAATGTTTGAAGTTGACTGTTCCTAGTCACCTCTCACACACATGCACCAGTGCTGTCCAGTAAAACCAGTTCTTTGTCTGGGTGTGTGTGAGAAACTTTAGACTTGCCGTGGGCCAGATTCTCACACACATCCTTTATGCACAGATTCAGGTTCAGGTTCCAGGTTTGTGTGTGATGAGGATCCAGTTGACACTTTAAAACTAGGATTAAAGAAATGCAATGAATCAGAATGATCTCATTGCAATTCTAAGTAACATGAAGTCACAAACTATTTGCTTTGGTTGTTGCTACAAACAATTAAGACATGCATCACTTATTTGATAAAATGGTGATATATAAGAATAGTGCATTATAAAAAGTCTCCGGAAGGAATTAGATTATAAAGTGAAAGTAGTAAGTGTAAAGTGAAGGTAGTAAAGTATGGTCTTCTCCAAGGTACCGGAGAGGAGACTCAGGAGGAGCATTGTGGTTTTAGTGTGGACCAGCTCTATAGTACAGTATACTCTCCATCGGATACTCAAGGGTCATATCAGTCCACATGTGTTTTGTGGATTTGGAGAAGGCGTTCGACAGTGTTCCCCTGGTGTCCTTTGGGGGTTTTTCTGCTGAGGACCCTGTATGACCAGCGTCAGGGCTGCGTTCGCATCTGCAGTAAGTCAGACCTGCTCCCGGTGCATTGGCCTCTGCCAAGGCTGCCCTTTGTCACCGGTTCTGTTTACTGTCTTTATGTACAGAATTTCTAGGCGCAGCCAGGGGCCGGAGAGGGCCCGGTTCAGAGACCCCAGGATTTAATCTCTGCGGATTGAGGACTATGTTGTCTTGTTGGCTCCAACGAACCAGGACCTGCAACATGCACTGGGAAGGTTTGCAGCCGGGAAACAGCTGGGATGAGAATTAGCTCTAAATCTGAGACCATGGTGGCTTGAACCCTCCAGGTCCTGGTCCTCTCCAGTTGGAGAGGTTTGTCTTCAAGTAGAAGAGTTCAAGTATGTGGGGGTCTTGTTCTCAGTGAGGGAAGGATGGAGCATGACATTGACAGGCAGATGTGTGCTGCGGTTCTGGGCATGTCCCATTGGGACAAGACCCTGGGGAAGACCCAGGACACAGAGGGACTACATATGTCTCTCAGCTGGCCTTGAGTCCCCCCAGATGAGCTGGAGGAGGAAGTCTGGGCATCTCTGCTTAGACTGCTACAACCCGGCAACGAATGAAGCAGAAGAAAATGTCAGTTGTAGAAATATGTTTGAATAGGTTTCTCCTGCTGCCTGTGGCTAAGAACCTTGCTCCTCAGTACTGTGTCAGTAGTCTGAGTACTGTGTCAGTAGTCTGAGTACTGTGTCAGTAGTCTGAGTACTGTGTCAGTAGTCTGAGTACTCTGTCAGTAGTCTGAGTACTGTGTCACTAGTCTGAGTACTGTGTCAGTAGTCTGAGTACGGTGTCACTAGTCTGAGTACTGTGTCAGTAGTCTGAGTACTGTGTCACTAGTCTGAGTAATGTGTCAGTAGTCTCAGTACTGTGTTAATAGTCCTCTTGTGTTTGTGCCTTTGTCAAAAAACAAAGGTTTGTAATCTGCCTGTAATTTGGCAAAACAGAGGATTTGCACAGAAGGGGAAGGGGGACGTGTTTTTGCCAGAACTCCCTTGAAACAACACTGGTCTGGTTTAAATGAGGAACAATGTTATAACAGAAAAAACACTGGTGAATGTGGGTCTGCAGCTGGAGCTCCCTCTGCTGGTGAGTATGGGTGCTGCAGCTGAAGCAGGTCACCGAGTTCACGCTGAGACTCTGTGGAGACTTCAGTGTGACATCACATCACACTTCACGAGGCTGATGTCTCAGAAAAGAGAGGAATTCTATATGAACCTAAGAGAATATAGAAAAATCTATTTCATATTTTCTACTGTATGTGTCAAAATCTCATACTTTACCTGAAAGTCAACGTTTTCTCCAGAAAGTTAGATTCATATAGGACTTTGTATAAGTTTAATGTATATTGTTTCCGTCTGTAATGATCAGCTTTGTTTTGTTTGCAGGAAATGGTTGACTGGTTCAACGCCATCCGAGCCGCTCGCTTCCACTACCTGCAGGTGGCGTTCCCTGGAGCCAGTGATGAAGAGGTGATGTGTGCCAGAGAAACAGAAAGAACAGAACAGACTGTTTTCCTAAAAAAACACTGAGACCAAAGTTAATGTTAGAGATGTAATACTGTCTGACAGAGAAATGGTCTCTGAACTAGAATTTGACCATGATAACCATGGTTACCAGGAGCTGAAACTAAAGGCGTCTAATACGTTTCTTTAACTGTAGCAGACAGAAGTTTAATTGCATTTGAAGACAGTTAGAAATGAATATATATATATAATATGTAATATGTTTATATAGTTTATGTTGTGTTTTCAGCTGGTGCCAAAACTCACCAGAAACTTCATGAGGGAGGGCTTCATGGAGAAAACGGGCCCAAAGGTTTGTCTCTAACTCTAAATCTCTAAAGCAGGAGTCTCCAAATTTTTCACCCAGAGAGCAACTTTTCCAAGACAGAACTCTTTGTAACGTTAGCTTGGGCTACCGAGATCTGACTTGTGGCTATTTGTGGCTACTACTAGGGTAGGATTATGAACAGAAGAGGATGGATCAACAAGAAGCCTGAGGATGAATTATTGTTACACACAAAATAAATCAAATACACTACAAAGACAGCAGGTATAAAATTAAATCAGTTCCACTACAAAGTCTGGACTGTTGGCAAAACTGTCCAAACATAAAAACACTTGCTAATTGCAAAGCTTGATTCAGTTCAGTAAAAAAAAAAAAAAAAACAGAAATCCACAAAAGGCGGGTAGAAAAGCAATAGACAGTTTGTCCTGCCAGGTAATTGTCAAGTTCACCATTTGTTGAGTTGGCTGCTCCTGCAACTTGGCAACAGATGAAGCAAAAGAAAATGGATGGATGGATGGATTATGTGATAGATTGGTGACAGTGAGCCTGATAGCAAGTAGTCATTTAATCAACACTCATTACACTGGGTAACAAAACATTTTTTTTTGAAAATAGTCCAGGGTTTTCCAGCTGAATATGACTAATTTTGATGCTCTGAGTCCGAAAAGTTGAGTTTTGCCCAATCAGATCAGGATTTTTTGCTACAGTGAAGAAGATGACATAGTCTGGGATCGTGTCTTTCAATCAGACAGAAGACATGTTTTATTGTCGATGGTAGAGACAGCACGAACAACACGAACAACAGAATGCAAGTGTATTATACAGAGCGGAGGCATGGAGACCTCCAATCAGCAGCTTCCACGATGTGCTTGTAGCTTGGCCTTCAGATAGACAAAACAAGGGAAAAGTACTGGCTTCTGCACATTGATAGAATGATGAGTTTAACTTTAACAAAAGTTGCCTCAAAGTGTTATGAAATCTCACAACAGAAATATCTTTTTAAATCGTATCCAAAGTCATTCAGTTTTTATTTACTCCATCAAATTTGATAAGCAGAATTCATAATAACGTTGACGTACATAATCCGTAACACTATGGCTGTATCTCAAAAAGTTGATGATAGAGCAAAATGCATGTAATATTCGGACTCAGAACACCAAAATTAGTCTAAATCAGTTGAGAAACCCCTGACCATTTTTTGGCTGTCAACTTGTGTTATTTATCATCACATTCCTTACCTGTGCACAAAGTATAATAAAGAATAATAATGAATAGTATGTTTTGAAATATGCAGTATATTATTTGGTTTGTTCATTTCTAAATCTTTGGTGAGCTACCTGGAAAGGGGTTGCAGGCTACAGGTTGGAGACCCTGCTCTAAATCACTTTAGGCTGCGGTCGCAAGCACAGCCTAAAGCCCGGTTAAAGTGGGTCTAGATACAGTCTATGCAAACTATTGGTTTAAAGCCATCTATGCTAGCTCTAGGTTTAAAGCTATCTTTAGCTATCTGTCCCAACAGAAGATGTTGTGCCTTCATCTTCTTTTACACGTGGAAGACGGATCCCTGTGAGTCACAATTTGACTCTTTTGGCTGAGAGCTGAGTGAGGGTGGTCTAAAGAAGTGGCAGAGGCATTCATTGTAGTGAGTAACTCCAGAGTCACTGCTCCTTCAGCTGCTCCCTCAGCTACTCCCTCAGCTGCTCCTTCAGCTGCTCCGTGACTTGGGGGGAGACTTGAACATCAGCCGATTAAAGGCCCAATATGACGCTTTTTGACCTTTCTCTACTTTAAACATAATCTCCGCTATTTACCCAGAGTAGTTTTTTCATTGATTCCTTCAAGCTTTAGTTAGAGAACATTTTTTCTGTCATCCAGAGTCAACAAGACGCCTGGCTTAAACTTTAATAAAACTGTGATAAAACTATAATAAAACTGTACTAAAAGTATAATAAAGTGTTTGATGTCGCCTGCAGCACACAGAAGGCTTTAAGAAGCGGTGGTTCACGATGGACGACAGGAGACTCATGTACTTCAAAGACCCTCTGGTGAGATCCATTCCTTTTATTTTTCTAATTTTGTAAAATGCAACAATGATAAACACCTAGATCCATTGGTCCATAAGCAGCAGAGACCACTGATCCTACCCTCCTACATCAGAGAACTGAGGCTGCTGCAGACCTCCACAGGACCAGCTCCAAGTGCAGAGGGCTCTCTTAATGTGTTGATGATGATGTTAATTAACATGTGAAGCCTTCTGAGTCTGAGCCCAGTGAAGGCTTCAGTCTCTGCCTCAGTCTCTGCCTCAGTCTCTGCCTCAGTCTCTACTTCAGTCTCTACTTCAGTCTCTGCCTCAGTCTCTACTTCAGTCTCTGCTTCAGTCTCTGCCTCGGCCTCAGTCTCTGCCTCAGTTTCTTTTTTAGTCTCTTCTTCAGTCTCTGCCTGGGTCTCTGCCTCAGTCTGTACTTCAGTCTCTGCCTCAGTCTCTGCCTCAGTTTCTTTTTTAGTCTCTTCTACAGTCTCTGCCTCGGCCTCTATGACCATGCATATTATACCTCATATATTGGATTGGATCCCTAACACATGTTTCAACTGCATCTTTCACTTTGTGCATAAATACAAAAATACACCAATCACCGGTCACTCTCATTGTGTATGAACTGTACAAATAAACGGTTGTGTGGCAGGATGCGTATGCGCGTGGGGAGGTCTTCATCGGCAGTAAAGAGAACAGTTACACCGTGCTCTCTGGTCTGCCCCCATCCACCCAGGGCCACCACTTTACCCACGGCATCACCATCGTCACGCCTCAACGCCACTTCCTGTTTGCCTGCGAGACGGAAGCCGAGCAACGGGATTGGATCTCAGCGTTCCAGAGAGTCATCAACCGACCAATGAGACCGCAGGAGTACGCAGGTATACGTACATATATACTATATATGCTCTATAGATAGTGTAGATACTTTAGATAGTGTAGATACTTTAGATAGTGTAGATACTGTAGATACTGTAGATAGTGTAGATACTATAGATAGTGTAGATACTGTAGATAGTGTAGATAGTGTACAGTAGATACTGTAGATAGTGTAGATACTGTAGATACTGTATATAGTGTAGATACTGTAGATAGTGTAGATACTGTAGATACTGTAGATAGTGTAGATACTGTAGATAATGTAGATAGTGTAGATACTGTAGATACTGTAGATACTGTAGATAGTGTAGATACTGTAGATACTGTAGATAGTGTAGATACTGTAGATACTGTAGATAGTGTAGATAGTGTAGATACTGTAGATAGTGTAGATACTGTAGATACTGTAGATAGTGTAGATACTATAGATAGTGTAGATACTGTAGATACTGTAGATAGTGTAGATACTATAGATAGTGTAGATAGTGTAGATACTGTAGATACTATAGATAGTGTAGATACTGTAGATACTGTAGATAGTGTAGATACTGCAGATACTGTAGATAGTGTAGATACTGTAGATAGTGTAGATACTATAGATAGTGTAGATAGTGTAGATACTGTAGATAGTGTAGATACTATAGATAGTGTAGATACTGTAGATAGTGTAGATACTGCAGATACTGTAGATAGTGTAGATACTGTAGATAGTGTAGATACTATAGATAGTGTAGATAGTGTAGATACTGTAGATAGTGTAGATACTATAGATAGTGTAGATACTGTAGATAGTGTAGATACTATAGATAGTGTAGATACTGTAGATACTGTAGATAGTGTAGATACTATAGATAGTGTAGATAGTGTAGATAGTGTAGATAGTGTAGATACTGTAGATACTGTAGATAGTGTAGATACTGTAGATACTGTAGATACTGTAGATAGTGTAGATAGTGTAGATACTGAAGATACTGAAGATAGAGTAGGTAGTGCACATTTTATAGATACTATAGAATAGATACTGTAGATACAACAGAACCTCACAGGGACAATAACAATGTTAACAATTTCAGGAGTATGTTTCCACATGATGCAATCTGAATCTTTTCAAAGTCAGAAAAGTGTTCCAGATCTCTGTGATCTCTCACTGATCTCTGATCTCACTGAACTCTGTTTCTTGCAGTTGAAGCTCATTTCAAGCACAAGCCCTGACTCTGGAGCCACTTTCTCAAAGAAACAAACTGAACTGACTCCAAACATGAGGAGCTTCTCAGACTCAGACTTCCTCCTGTAATCTCTGTAACCTCTGTCATCTCTGTACTGCTGTTTTCAAGAGTGTGTATTCTAAAGTGTGTATTCTAGAGTGTGTATTCTAGAGTGCGTGTTCTAGAGTGTGTATTCTAGAGTGTGTGTTCTAGAGTGTGTGTTCTAGAGTGCGTGTTCTAGAGTGCGTGTTCTAGAGTGCGTGTTCTAGAGTCCTGTCTCTGCTGCTGTGTCTATTGAATGTACAGTTTACAGTTTTTTGAAGCTTGCGGCTCAGAACCAACTCTTAATAGTTCTGTTAATCGTCAAATGTGCATCAATTTAAACCACAAACATTAACATTTAGTTTTTTTTCTCTGTGTAGTAGTATTAAAGGCATAAATCTGCTAGAGACTGAAAGTTTTGTCTAATCTTTGTCAGGTTTGAGATCAAAGGCAAAGCCCTCAGAGAAGTTCACCCAAGAACCACTTTAAAAATGTAAAAACCAAAGTCTGAACAAGTTTCCACTGATGTCACTGACAAAACATGTGTTTGTGGTTTTGGATAAATATAATAAACTCTCTATAAACTCTCTTTACAGAAGCATCAAAACAGTTTTCACTGAAATAATACTATGACTATGATTTGGTTCTTATGATTATGTTACGTATTATATTTATTATAAAGACGTGGTTGACCTTAAAAACTACATCTGAGATGTTGCATCAACACCTGATTAAACTGAAACCACTAAACACTGGACTCAGAAGGATCCAACTTCTCTAAAATAACTTAATTTGGGTAAAAATTATATCAAATATTGTCACAGTTTTAGTCACGACTGTATTGTGACCTGAGTGAAAACTGCCCAGAGCCTCAGATTATGTCTGAATGTGTTTTATGTCTTTAATCTCAGAGATCAGCTGTTACTGTAGTGTTCTGCTTCTATGTTTTCTCATAACTGCTGCTTAAGATGATGTCATATTATAATGATGTCATGTGATGATGATGTAATGATGTACTGACAGAACACTTAGTTTCTTGTTTCATCGTAATTGTGTGTGGAATGTATAGTGCGACCTAAGACATTTTAGAGCTGTATTACTGAAGAAGATGAAAAAGTCTGGGATCGCGTCTTAAATTCAGACAGAAGACATGTTTTATTGTCGATGGTAGAGACAGCACGAACAACACGAACACAGATACAACAGAATGCAAGTGTATTATACAGAGCGGAGGCATGGAGACCTCCAATCAGCAGCTTCCACAGTGCCATGTAGCTTGGCCTTCAGATAGACAAAACAAGGGAAAAGTACTGGCTTCTGCACATTGATAGAATGATGAGTTTAACTTTAACAAAAGTTGCTTCAAAGTGTTATGAAATCTCACATTACTTTAGTTAGAACTAGACAAATCTGACAATCACAGGATAAAATTAAGAAAGATAAAAGCATTCTTTTTTTGCATTCAATACACACACGCACACAAGCACACATACACAGACAGACACATGCACACACACACAGACACACACATTCTCATGTGGCAGAAGTGTCTTGCCAAAGGACACGGGGACAGTGTGGCTCCTGCTGAGGGTCAGCCTATAGTTCTTCCAATAAGGACTGTTAGGGTTAGTAAAGTTAGAGTTAGAGTTGGTGTAAGGTTTAGTGTTAGGATTAGAGTTAGAGTTAGTAAAGTTAGGGTTAGAGTCCCAGCTGTGAGGACAGAGAAAATATCTAAAACAATATAAAACATATGGCATTGTTTCGTTTCTTTGCAGAGACATTTATCACGTGTCTCTCACATTCGAAACATTGACTTTGTGTAAAAATGCTTTTTGTAACTTACGACAGCTGACTTTGTCTGTGGGTTTGTTATTATGATAGATCTATGGTTAGTTTTCATCTCCGGAAAAATTTGACTTTTAAGAAGGAGCCCTTTAGGGTCACTAGCTGACGCTTTGGGCAGACAAGTGATTAGCTGAGTGAGGCTGGTCCTCTCTTTGATCTAAAGTTGTGACAAATTAAAAACTAGTGATAGAAGGAACTGTTTTGAGATCAAGGAACTCGTTACATGGACTTCATTACATGTGTGTTTAAATGTCTGTCCCCGTCTGAAATCATTATTTATCAACATATATGGACATTTTTTATGTGTTTTTTTCATTGTATTTCCTGAGTTGGAACTGTTTGATTCTCTGATCTGTGTTGGCGAATCAACAGTTAAAGTCGTCTTGAGATTTAGGGCGTTACAAAAAATAATTGAATTGAATTATTTGTATTACGTTTGGAGAATAAAAAAAAGCAACTATTCTTTTTCATATTTTCTATCAATCAAGTTGTTCAAATATTTATTTTTATTTAAGAGTTTTGCCACAAACGTGACCATGTGGCAGGGAAGTTAAACATACTGACCTCTCCGTACACTGTAAACCCTGACAAGTAAAGTTTACTTGAAAAAAACATGGAAATAAATTGCGTATTAACTTCACTTGAATTCCTCGAGTACACCCTTTACTTGATATTACCAAGTAAACTCAAGTGATTGCAATAAAGTTTAAATTTCTACCTACGTACTCAGAACCCTGTAGTTGAGAGGTAATGGTGCTCAGCCACCATACCCACTCAGCCACCAGGACACCCTGCCATTGTCACACCTGCCTCATTAAAGAGTCTACACGTCAAAATGTCAAAAGTGAGGCTTACTTGAACAGAAACAGTTCAATTCAAAGAAAACCCTGAGTGACATAGGCAAGCTTTAAATAAACTAACAATAAATGAGTAATATCTACTTACTGGGAAAAATCTATTTAAAATAACTTTGATATCTGAAGTAGGATTGAAGTTAGGGTTTACAGTGTAACCCTAAAGCCTAAAAAGGAAATAGCAAAAAAAACGAAAAGCACATTCATAAAAATTGTGCCGATGTTTAAATAGTTTATTTGTATGAGGGAATAGTGACAAAAATGAGAGATAAAGAAAAATAACAGTATCATAGCCTTAACAATCAGGAAGTAGAATTGTAAACAACGAAACAAAACAAAACCCACGTGGACAGAACACGTGGCATTGCGCACATGGGACAAACCACGTGACAGTCAAGATGGCGGCGGCCGGAGACAGCAGCGTGAGGAGGAGAAGAGTAGAAACACAGGACAGTACCTCCCCTGGGACACAGAGGACACAGGGGACTGATGACAGCGCTGCGACGGGGACAGAGAGGGCAGAGGAGCCGGCGCCCCGGTGTCTGAGGCCCGGGACGTACTGGCTCACGCGGATCGTGCTGCTCCGAGCTGTGGCCTTTATTTACTGTAAGAACACTGGGCTGTGGAGGTGAAGGGGAAGGAGGTGGTGGTGGAGGAGGAGGAGCAGTTGGAGTAGGCGAAGGAGGAGGGGTAGCAGGAGGTGGTGCAGGTGGTGGAGGAGGGGGTGCAGGTGGTGGAGGAGGAGGGGGAGCAGGTGGTGGTGGTGGAGAAGGTGGTAGAGGAGGGGGGTGGAGCAGGACACTGGTTTAGAAAGTAGTATCATGGAATTAATACATAAATGAGGTGAAAACAGAGACATTTAGACTGGGGACATACTCAAATACAACAGAGACCAGCAGCAGACACCATGTGACATATCTCTCTCTGTCTCAGTTGTGGCCTTCAGCGTGGCCCTGAACCAGAACAAGGCTCTGATCGGAGAGCGCGGCCTTCTTCCATGTAAGGATTATCTGAACAGTGTGAAGCGATATGTGGGGGGCAGGATTGGCCTGGATGCCTTGGTCTACACACCCACCATCCTCTGGTTCCTGGACTGGAGCCACATGGACTGGAACCTGGACGCCATCGCAGTCCTGGGGATGGTTCTGTCAGGGTTTGTGCTGGTCTCTGGGATGGCGAACATGGTGTTGATGGTTCTGCTGTGGTTGTTGTACCACTCCCTGGTCAGTGTGGGGCAGCTGTGGTAGGTGTCACTCAAATTAAAGATACCCTAACGCTTACTGTAACCCATCAGGCTCAGCGTTTGAAATGTGTTTGTTTACCTTTCCAGGTATTCATTTGGTAAGTGTTTCTTTCAGTCTTTTATCAAACTGTGTTTAATGTAGCAGAGAGACCACTGTTTGAACTGTTAGCATCCATGACTCATTCACCATTAGCTTCCATGACTCACTCACAGTTAACCTAACTCTAAGGTTGTGAGCTCTAACTTAACTTTAAGGTTGGGAGAGTCAGCTGCTGGAGACAGGGTTCCTGGCCGTGTTCCTGGTTCCTCTCTGGTCTCTGTCGATGGTTCCTCGCTGTTTGAGCCCTTCCCTCGTCTGTGTGTGGGCCTTCAGGTGGCTCATCGCACGCATCATGTTGGGAGCGGTCAGTACTCTTACTCGAATTATTCTTACTCTAAATTATCCTCTGAGTAATCCTCAGAGTAATCCTCAGAGTAGATACTTTTGAAGTACAGTGTTGCAGGTGCGAATGGATATCATTTAGTTATAATTTTCTTTTCCGAAGATAGTTTGTTAAAGTCCTGACACACCTGGTCCTCTCTGACACACCTGGTCCTGGTAAAGGTGTTCGGTTTATTTTTCAGGGACTTATTAAAATCCGAGGAGACAAATGTTGGCTGGACCTCACCTGTATGGACTACCACTATGAGGTATCACATCATAGGACACACATATCAATGAAAACACATATCAATGAACACACACATCAAAGATCACGGTCCAGTGTGATGCCCATAGTCCTGTCAAATTCTGGTGATTGTTTTGTGTGTTTACATTTGATGCTTGTCGCTTGATGTTTTGTTAAAACTTGGGACATTTAGCTTACTTACTCTCTTACTAACTCTGTGTGTGTGTCTGTGTGTCTGTCTGTGTGTGTGTATCAGACCCAGCCGGTCCCTAACCCGTTGTCATATTTCCTTCATCGCTCGCCCTGGTGGATTCATCGCTGTGAGACTCTGTCCAATCACATCATCGAGCTCATTGTTCCTTTCTTCACCGTGATTGGCCGACGCATGTGTATGGTCCACGGCGCCATACAGATACTGTTCCAGGTGTTTACTCGAGTACTATTCTGTTAGGTTCTGTTGTCTGTGTGGTTCTGTGAGGTCCTGTTATGTTGCAGGTTCTGTGAGGTTGTGTTGTGTTGCAGCTGGTCCTGATACTCAGTGGGAACCTGAGCTTCCTGAACTGGCTCACCATTGTTCCCAGTTTGTCATGTTTCGACGACGCAGCCCTGGAATTTCTGTTCCGCTCCAAGGGCGGAGCCAAGGACCAGGTTCTGAAGATACAAGAAGAGACTGAAGCTGGACTATCACCAAAGACCAGCAGAGGTACCAGAGATGTTGTTGAGTGTGTGTGAGATGCAGATGTTGTGTTGTAGTTTTTGTGTCTCAGAGATGTAGATTTGCAGAGTGGTTAACCTCTGCATGGGCCTTCTGATTGTGGGTGTAATGCAGATGTGTATCTCTCAGGGATGCAGATTCGTAAAGTGGTTAATGTCTCTCTGGGCCTCCTGATTGGCTGCCTGAGCGTTCCCGTGGTGATGAACCTGCTCAGCTCCAAACAAGTGATGAACACATCCTTCGACCCACTGCGCATCGTCAACACATATGGGGCCTTTGGCAGGTACATACAGGTACATACAGGTACATACAGGTACATACACACACTCACAGAGGTACGCTCTGTGTGCTCCTCAGAGTCCCAGCAGGAGGCCCTCAAAATTTTTATTCTGTGCTGTGTCATTTATCCTCTTGTACATTTATTTTCCATTTTTATGGCAGAAATGTAACCAGTATGATCCATCCATCCATTTTCTACCCCTTAATCCATTTCTGGGTTGAGGGAGTGGCCAGAGATGCCACCCAGTACACATAGCACCAGTATGATTTCAAGTTTAAAACAATGTGTTGTTTCCGTCCAGCATCACTAAGGAGCGCACGGAGGTGATCCTGCAGGGCACGTCAGCTGCAGACCCCAAAGACCCCAGCGCTGTGTGGGAGGAGTACCAGTTCTTGTGTAAACCTGGGGACGTGTACAGACGCCCCTGTTTCATTTCTCCCTACCACCTCCGCCTCGACTGGCTCATGTGGTTCGCAGCGTTCCAGGTATTCCATTCAATTTATTTGTGTATCGCCCAAATCACAACAGTAGTTATCTCAGAGGACTTTACAAAACAGTTGATTCACCAACGAAGAACCGAGAATCAAACAGTTCAAACACATAGAGCCATTGGTCCATAAAGGGCAGATGTTCTGTATCATCTCTGTCCTTAGAGCCTCCTGCATCAGGGGAACAACTCTGTGCTCAGGGACAGGACACTTTAACAGATAATCACACATAAACAGATAATGTGATAAAGTGTCTCTTTCTCTTAATTTGTATTTATTAAGCACTTATTCGTCCTTATTCTACATGGCCTTACATCTAACTCACTGCTAACGAACATGTGGGGGAGAGTAAGCGTTCACTAATTAGCACTTAATAATCTGCTAGAGAGTGCTGGTCTAAAGGTTTTGTCAGTTATATATCTAGTTTCAATATTAAATAGTATGTGATTTTACATTATTTTGAATTGACTCTAGCGGATTCGTGTTTTACAAGTTAACATTAATATACAGCATCCGATCAAAAAATTAAAGTTTGGGTAAGATAATGTATGTTCTGTTCAGGACTTGGTTAAAGCATGAAGAGTGCAGTGTACACCAGTCCAAAGATTTCAGATACTATTGAGACCTAGTGTATTATAAAAAGTCCAAAGCAATATTAGCTTTCTCTCTTTCCCCAGTCTGAGATTTTTATCCCAGGGTTATTCCTTTCCGATTACTTCTGAGTCTGACCAGAGGGAGCAGCAGCTCTCTCTTTGTGACAGCAGTGGTCTGAGGTTCAGTTTTTGACTAGAGGGGGCAGCACCTCTCTCTCAGGGACTGCAGTGGTCTGAGGTTCAGTGTTTTCAGTGTGATGTTAAAAAAAACCTTGTTCACTGCAGACGTATGAACAGAGTGAGTGGGTGATCCACATCGCCGGCCGTCTACTCTCCAACGACAGCTCTGTGCTCTCTCTGATCGACCACAACCCTTTTCATGGCAGCGCCTCCCCCAGGTAACCTCTGCTACTGTATACTATATACTACAGTGGGGTTAAATAGTATTTTGTCAGCCACCAATTGTGCAAGTTCTTCTGTAATTTACATCATAGTTATACCTCAACTCTGAGAGACAGAATGATAAAATCACGTTGTCTTATTTTTCGAGAATTTATTTGCAAATTATGGTGGTAAATTACATTTAAGTATTACACTACATAAGCTCATCTCAATACACCACAATACCGTATCTTCTCTAATTTTAACAGTGGCTTGATAATCTGGTGCACACTATGTATGAATTTCTGACTGTGTTTACAGACCGAGCTATATATTTATATGCCAAAATGTATAAGTACGAGCCGGCACGGAAGCTGGCTTCACTCGGAAATAAATGAAGAGCAAATACGAGACGCATGCATCTGATTGCGCCATACAACTCAAGACGCAGTTTTGGGCACAAATACTGTAATATTTGTGCTCATGCACTTTATTGTACACACATCCAAACCACTTTTATTCACTCAACTTGTAAAAAAAAAAAAACACTGAAGAGCAAGTGCGTCCACTTGAATAGTCCGGGTAAAACACGTTCCGGGGATTGTGTGCACCGACTGTTTCCAGCTTAATCTACAAACATCTCTCAGATATCTCGCTAAAGCTACAAACACATTTTAATGGCGCCTCAGGGAGTAATACTGTTATATTTGGTCTAATGGCCAAATGGATCTTAAAATTGCCTCTATGAGGAGACATGCTTAATAAATGGATTTTAAGCTAAGCTATCGGTGACGCAGTTGAGCATGGTAATAGCTATGATGCTAATGGCATTGATTGGTTCAGACCACGAGTCCTCTCCGCTCCGGTCTGGACCAGTGCAAAACCATGAACACTGTACTGCTGTAAAAGCTAGAAAAAAAGCAAATTGTCTTTGTTCTGGTCAGATATATTTATTACTAGAGTAACATTGTCTTGGTTCTGGTCCAGATGGGTTCGAGGAGAGCACTACATCTACAGGTTCAGCAAACCTGGCAGCTCCAGTGCCGCTCGAGGACAGTGGTGGATCAGGAAGAGGATCGGGCCATACTTTCCTCCTGTGGACCTGGAGGGACTCCGGGGCTACTTCCAGTCCCGCAACTGGCCCCACCCCCTTGTCCCCAAGGGGAGGAACTAGGAAAGGGCCCCTCCCTTTGGGCTAGGCATGGCCCTGCGTCCATGTGAGCTGTTCTTGTTTTCTTGCACTTTGTTGTGATTAGCTGCCAGAGACGACCAAAAACATCTGCTCATTGTTTAATTTGTTACCATTTTATCTTGATTTGAGTGTTTTATTTTGGAGCCAATAAGTTTATGTAAGCTCTCAGTCACACAGGAATTATTTAAAACAAAGGACGTTTGCTCACCCATCATCTATACTTCACTTAGTAGGTTTTCGTTCTTATCCAAAGAACTTTTTCAAGGGAATGAGCATTGTTAGCAGACAATATCAGTGATGTGCTAATGATTTAGGATCGTTAGCCCTAATGAGTTAATGATAAATAATAATAATGCATTGGTTTTATATAGCGCTTTTTTGGACGCTCAAAGACGTCCTTCATTATTCATTCATGGTGGTGATAAGCTACTGCTGTAGCCACAGCTGCCCTGGGGCACCTAACAGAAGCGAGGCAACCAGTAAGTGCCATCGGCCCCTCCTATCACCACCAACCATTCACACACACCAGACTAGAGCCCTGCACGGGCCTATTATCTGGGCCCAAGCCCGGCCCTGGCCTGAGGGGGTGGCGCCCCAGCCCGGCCCGGCCCGATGTGGTTTCTGAATTTTCAGGTCCAAAACCTGCATCAAGCCCAACTTCTTTTTGTTTTGTTTTTTTACCTCCCATAACAATGTTTTAGCGTAGTATATAGTGCCGCGCACTGATATGAACACAGGCTTGGCTAGAGGGCGGAGTTATACATGGTAGCAGCTGTATGATACGCAGCTGTATGATACACAGATGCCGCAACACACTTGTAAGTAACGCTATGTGTCGTCAATGACAACACTACACAGAACAACAAACACTACAGCGTGATAGAATGCTATATTCAGTGGGTGCGTTCGTAAATGTAATCTGCCGCTCTGAAAGTGCCTGAGCCCGGCCCGTGTCCGAGGTCATTATATGGTCATCGGCCCGAAGCCCGGCCCTCGGGCTGTCGGGGCCCTCGGGCCAGGGGGTCAAGTGCAGGGCTCTACACCAGACTCATTCTAGGCAATGGGGGTGAAGTGTCTTGCCTAAGGACACAACAGCAGTTTGGCACTTCACAGCCGCCCCACTGTGGCATCAGGTGTTTCCAGAGGTCAAGTGTCTTGCCAAGGACACAACGACAGCAGACAGTGGGAGTCGGTGCAGAAAGTCTTGAGGTGGGCTTGAACCCACGACCTTCTGGCTCAAAGGCCAACTGAGCTACTGTCGCCCCAAAATTGTCATAATTGTTGCTAGTTCGAAGTTGACCCCAGGATCAGGGGGTGGCTAACCACATCCACAGGTTATAAATCTCCAACTTGCTGCTGAGCTTTCATCCCCTCAAAAAAGTTCTTTGGATAAGAATGAAACGTTGGGAAAACCTACTATCTGAAGTAGAGATGATGGGTGAGCAGCCTTCCTTTGATTTACAACCAATGCCAAAAACGATTTTTATTAGAAGTACTTTTCTAATGTTAAATCTCATGTCATCCAGCCAACTTCAACGTTGTCTTATATAATTCAAAATGTGATTGTTGCAAGTTTGAGAATCTTGTTGTAAACAACCACAACATGCAGACAGAGGCTTAAAGGAAAGGAATCAAAACACAATTAATACAAAATATGAGTTAAACTTACGGCCCGACACACCTGGTAAAACAGAACTGTAAAATCTATCGACGACTTTAGAAACATCCTCTAAACCCTGAAGTTTTCCTGAAAATCAACGTCTACGAAATGATTGATATCTCGGGCTCTGTAGCAGAGAGCTGACACTTGTGGCTGTCAATAAGAATGCAGTGTATTATTATAAACCTTCAGTAGAATAATACAGAAAATATACAACTTCCACACAGGAAGGAAAATGGAACCAAAAATAATGTGAGTAAAATCAAATAATGACTCGCAACAACATTTTACTTTTGTGCACAAATAACATGCATGGTCAATGTAAGCAAAAATGTAGGCACCTCAGCTTTAATTCAGTGAGATTTGGCTGCGCATTCTGAGGAGACGTGCGGGAGAGACGGGGGAGACGGGCAAGACCTCCACATACAACAAGCTGGGGATTGTCCTGATCCATAGGCGCCTATGGTTCTGCACGGGCGTCTATGGTTCTGTACGGGCGCCTATGGTTCTGTACGGGCGCCTATGGTTCTGTACGGGCGTCTATGGTTCTGTACGGGCGTCTATGGTTCTGTACGGGCGTCTATGGTTCTGTACGGGCGCCTATGGTTCTGTACGGGCGCCAATGGTTCTGTACGGGCGCCAATGGTTCTGTACGGGCGCCTATGGTTCTGTACGGGCGCCAATGGTTCTGTACGGGCGCCAATGGTTCTGTACGGGCGCCAATGGTTCTGTACGGGCGCCAATGGTTCTGTACGGGCGCCTATGGTTCTGTACGGGCGCCTATGGTTCTGTACGGGCGCCTATGGTTCTGTACGGGCGCCTATGGTTCTGTACGGGCGTCCATGGTCCGCGCTCGGTACAAGCGGCTGTCGGTACAAGCGGCTGTCGGTACAAGCGGCTGTCGGTACCAAGCGGCTGTCGGTACCAAGCGGCTGTCGGTACCAAGCGGCTGTCGGTACCAAGCGGCTGTCGGTACCAAGCGGCTGTCGGTACAAAGCGGCTGTCGGTACAAAGCGGCCCCCAAGGTAAGAACGGAGGATGTGAATCCCGTTCGAGTAGTCACAGTTCGCAGTCACACATTTCACAGAAACTCTATTTTTAGCAGGAAAAAGTTGGAATTCGCTGATCCGCAGAAAATTCTCATCCCTTGTATATCCTGAGGCACTTCATTGGTCAAAAGAATTGTTCAATGAAGAGAATAGGTCAAAAAAAGATAAACAGACGTGTCCACTTTCCCGGCTTGAAAGGTAGAAATGTCTTAACCCATTGACAAGACATCGACGTGTTTCATCGCTGAAGGAACTCTTCCACTTGTTTATGTCTGCATTGTTTGTGTTTTACTATCATTATTTAAAACTTAATGTAATTTTTCTACTTTTCAATAAAACTCTAGTTCTGCAATTTATGTTGCATTATGGGTTTGAATGACAGCACTTTTCTGGGCTTTCTATTTATATTTATAAACCACTACCTACATTTTACAAGTAAATGTTCTTAGTTTCCATGATTCATTCACGTTCTTCTTTGTTGACAATATCTAAAATCCTTAAAGCTCATTGCTAAACAACTAAGCTGCCATCTGCAGGAAATTATTATACTTGAAATCTTTCAATCTTTCAATCTAGATTCTTTGTCAATATCACAAATGACTTGCTACTAGTTGCACTTGTAACTGTTTCCGTGATGATGCTTCAAGTTACTTCTAAAGGAAATATGCAACATTAACTCGTTACTTTAGGCAAGGCAAGTTTAATGTGAAGCACAGTTCATACATAAGGCAACACAAAGTGCTGAACAGGATGGAAATATCACAAGGCATTAAAATAATCACATTACATTAAAAAAGAATAAAAATAATTGATGGACTGAGTGGATAGCACTCTCGTTACTCAACAAGAAGGTCCTGAGTTAAAATCCCGGTCGGAACTGGGTCTTTCTGAGTGGAATTTGCATGTTCTCCCTGTACCTACATAGGTTTCCTCCGGTTGCTCCGGTTTCCCTTACCACTAAAAACATACACAATAGGTAAAAAATTCCAGCTCCTGTAGTCCTGACCAAGACAAGCATCAACATCTGGAGATGGGATCCTGGGCGCTGTACAACGAAGACTACTGCTCCTGACGTAAGCATCATAAGCACATCAGGATGGGTCAAATGCAGATGAATTGCCCTATGGGGATTAATAATAGTGGCCATTTCACCTTAAAGATAAAGTGCCTCAATTGTTACAGAAACATAACTGTTTTAACCTGGATTTGAACATTGTCAGAGTCATTGTCTCACGTTTTAGGGATGACTTCCAGATTTTAGTAACAATTCAGCTTTATGCAGCTTAGTCATGAAGGTGGAGTTCAGGTCTGTTTTCTCTTTTTGACTGTTGAGCTGCAGTACATGACAAAGCCAGCAGAGGGCACCAGTGCACAATTGAATACGCTCTTATTGTTTAGTCTGCGTCCCTCAGTGTTTGGGTCGGAGTGACCGCCACAGTGATTAAAAAATCTCCTAATACATTTTGGAGCTGAATGTTGAAGATTTTAACAAACCTCACCCTGTGTCAATGAGACCCTTTTAGACCCGGATTGAGTTATTTCTCTTCTCCTTTTGATCACTGGCGGCTCATTTTGACCTGAGGACAGTGTAGAGATACATACAGATGCGTACATGCAAATAAGTCTCTTAATGTTTAGTCCAGGTCAAGGAACAACTATAGCATCGATGTCACATTTAGATTATGTATGTTTAAGATATGCTAAGTCTGATGAAGGCCTCAGTCCCAAAAGTCTGCTACTGCTAAACCAGCTTCGAGGCAGCAGACTTGTTAACTAATGTGGCTATAAATAGGTTATAGAGAAAAAAAAACTACTGCACGGATTTCCTTAACCAAGGTCTCATTGTTTGGCGAAGACGAAGAACACGAGCAGAGAATTTTTTTCGGGCCAAATCCATCGTAGTTTTAGCAATTGGAAAGAAACAACTTGTAATGTCTTTGAAGACGTTTTTTTCCTGTTAAAGAAAAACACATTTTTGGATTATATATCCATGCTGGGCTATGGTTCGGAAATCAAAAGTGCATATTGCTTTTCCATGGACATTTATGGTATTAATGAGCAAACAAAGATAACTTCAAAATTACAGACAGAGCACAAGTCCAAAGGTAAGAAATGTGATGAGAATTATTACCGTGCCTATATTATGCTTTTTATCTTTTGAGTGTAGTCTGCACTTGTATATTAATGTTGATGAGAAAATAAGCTTTAAAATGATAAACAGCCAGTGGGGTTTGAAGACCAAAATAATTGTGCTTTGACAAGTTTAACTAACT